CTCGTGCTGAATTCTCTTGAGCCCTTGAATGCAAGCTCTCTTGCAACTCCTTGCCTCTAGATTGCGCAGGGAACGAACTGGCTCGGAAGTCGTCCATGCTTCCAGGCCCTCATTCATGTGTTCTTGGGCCGCACGGTCCAGGTTGAAGCAACCGCCCGATCGAGGAGCTTCGTCTACCTCCATTTGTGACTCTGGTCTCAATCTCGCGACTTTCTTGTAGCCTCTGCTCCTGCACTCGTTCTGCCATCAGCAGATCCCGATCCGGAATCGCCTTACCTCGCTCAAGTGTTGCCTGCTCGCGATCAAGTTTGGCTTGATCCCTTTCAAGAGCTGCCTGATCCCTATCCAGAGTGGCCTTGTCCCGTTCCCTTTGGTTCCATTCCAACTCTCTCTTCATGCTGCCGAGATCAGGATACGACTCCTTTGTTTGTTGCGAGCGGAACCACGACGGTGGTTTACTTGTGGACTGAGTCCCTGCTCCTGCTGGCGGTCTGGTCGGAAGTGGAAATTCTCCCGCACCATATTCCGTATTGCTGCTCAAGCCAGGGTTTCTCGCAAGGTCATGTCCTCTCAGGCCTCCATCCACTTTCCAGGATAGCCATGTGGTCTGTTCCTGATTTGAATTTCCGTCTGAAGTGTATCCCACCATCAACACGGCTTCAGTCGCTGACTCCCTGCATTCGCCTCGTGCTTCCAGTTGCAGGATGGCATTCAACATTACCGCCAATCTTTCGTCCACTAGCTTATAATCGAGGTCCCTCAAGCGCTTGTATAGCTCATGGAGGGAATGCTTTTTGAGCGCTGCTGGAGTAGACTTCCAGAAGCGATCCGCCATCGTTGCTATATTTTCAAGCGATTTTCCGTATCAACCAACTTGAGAAATACCTTACCAGTTGAAATCGAGAAATTTCTTACCAATTAAACTTGAGAAATACCTTTCCCCAATTGATACTTGAGAAATGTCTTCCTCTACTGCTGCCAGTCGAGAACTTATTCGAGATCTCCCGTTTCATTCGATTGAGTGTAGCCTGATTGTCAATTCAATTTTTGCAAATCAATCTGAAAATAGAACTCATTTTTAGACCAAGATGTTTTTGCTCATGCCTAGCCTAAGTATCCCCATTAATACCTTCAAGTTATTACCCTAACAACTCCATTAAGATGATTCAATTTAGATGTTAAAAACATGCAGATTCATTTTATGTTTTAGCACCATTTACTCTTCAGAAATTAATTGTCATGCCAACTACTTTAAAATTCATCTACCTGACTCGTGCCCCCTCTTACCTAGCTTAAGAACCTGTGCCCCCAACTCAAGACTTCCAGGTCCATTCAAAGATCAGGCGATACTCAAGTAGTACTTCTTGTGTAGGTGCACCACTATCTCCGTTTCTGCAACGACCACATGTAGGATGGCGTATAATTACCTAGGATTCAACCTGCCCCTGTTTGGATCGTAAACCGGCATTGAGACCTCTCGTATCCCTCTTTCGACTATGAAGTTCCTCAACCTCGTTAGTGCCAACATTACGTGCTCAGGGTCTATCGCGTTCCTCTCGTTGACCCTCGTCACCAAAAAACACAGATATTTAGCAGGAACTTGTGAAACTGAAGGAGGAAGCGCAGCCATTCCTCCCAACCCTGGCCTCTGCCTGAATAGAAACTCCACATTCTGATATTCTCTTTTGAAGTCTGCTTCCAGTCTCGTGTTTAAACTCATGTCCGCTGTGATACAGATCGCACTAGTCCTATCAGACAAAATGAAGTCGCTGTCTGTGATCAGCATGTTCTCTGAATATTCATTCGGTATCTCGAATTTTGTCTTGAAAATTCTTCCTATGGTAGGCTCAGCTTCCTCCTGATCCAGTTACAACCAGTTAGTCTCTCTCACTTCCCTGAGCTTCTTTACCATCAAATTTTGGGTGTGGGTAAGTCCGACCCCCACTCGCCGGACAAAAATATTTATCGGCGTCCCCGTCGATGATGCTGGGTTCAAGTTATCCGTTGATAATTCTAGTGACCGGTCGGTGACTGTCCAACCAAATAATGGATTTCCTGTCTTCACATGTTTCATTGCTGACACGTCGATTTGTTGTATGTTTTGCGCCTCCCTTTTGTCAGTCTCAATATTGTGCATCCAATCCAGTACCCTCAGGTTTGTGTTTTCCCTTCTTTTTATCTCGCTTTGTTCCAGGTCTACTTCTCTTTGCGGTATGGAGTATTCTTCTTGCAAGGAGTGCTCGCTGTCGTTGATGATCTGCCACTCTTCATCGGCTACCAGCTGGGCCACGTTCACCAACTCCTCGCTTACCTCATCTGGTTGTATCTTGTCAATCTTGTCATACCTGTTGTATCTCGTGCCTGTCCGTTTGCGATCGCCTTTCCTTGTCCCTGTGGTCATCGGCTGGTCTGGTTCTGTCCACTGTGGTACCTCGTTCTGCTCTGGATCATTCCAATCTTCCTCCGCGAATGATCCACCTCTATCTTCTCGTTATCATCCATCCTCACGTCCTCGTTGCCGTCATTCTTCTCTCTGGTGCCTTTCTCGTTCACTTCACATGCCCGCTCTACCAGTAGATACTCGATACCTTCCATGTTCTGGGGTACACACCAGTCTTCCGGACATGGGACGTGTGGTTTCAGATTTTGGTAGTGCGCCGCACGCCCTGTACTCAAGCGATAGAAACGGCCCGTTGGTGTACCTCTGTTATCATATACGTTCCTCTCCATTTCTTCAGCAATTTTTAAGTCCCTTTTGGGGGTATGACATTCTAGAACACCCAAAAACGTAATGTCCCACAGCATACGGTTTTGCCTGAACTATTTTTTCATCGTACTTCTTCTGCTGTCTCATTTGTGCCAGCGCCGTGTTCCTTCTACAGAGTTTGTTCAATTCTTGTTGTCTCTTGACCGCTTCCTTCACGTACGTCTGCGGCGACCTCTTCTTCCCTTCATATTCAGGATAGAACAATGTCAGGGGCATTGCTCTCTCCCTGCCAGTAAACATCACGAAAAGACTGATCCCTGTTGTAGAGTGCTGCGTGCTGTTGTACGCCCCTACCACTTGTGGCAGACATTTGTCCCAATCTAACATGTATCTCGAGCAAAATACCCTCAGAATGCTCACAAGAGTTCTGTTTTGCCTCTCCACTAATCCGTTTGTTTGAGGATGGTAGGCTGTTGAACGCGGTTCTTTTGTCAGGTCCCCCACGAAGGCCTTCCCATTGTCCGACTGGAATGTCATCGGACAACCATGTCGTGATGTCAAGTGCGTTATCAAATTATAACAAGTCTCTTTAGCTGAGGCCGTCTGACATGGTACAGCTTCTGCCAGTTTCGTGAAGTGGTCTATAGTTACTAGTATCTGATTGTATCCCGAGTCGGTCATGCGGATCTTCTGGTGGTCTATCTGCACGACCTCGTTAAATTCCAAGCTTTCCACGGACTTAAGTGAGAATTTCAATTTTCTAGGGTCCTTCACTTGCAAACACGACAAACATGCGTTCACCCAACTTTAGCAAGCCTTTCTCAACCCTGGGCAGTCAAACCTGTGCAGTATTCTTTGTTGTACCTTGTCTCTTCCCTGATGTCCCATCTGATCGTGCGATTTGAACAACACTTCCGTCTGGTATAGCTGTGCTAATATGATGAGATTGTGCTTGTATATTATCTTCTCCTCATCTTTCCTCCTACAGGCTACCACACCATCAGCTGTGTGATAGAATAAACCCTTTCTCTCCTTATAGAACTGGCTCAAGATCTTGTAACTGTCCTCCTCCAGGTCACCTTTTTCCTTGTCTCCCGTCGGGATCCATTTGGAGAGGTTGCTCGACGTCTTATCATTCTTCTGGGTTCGTATCAGATCCGATAGTCTGAATCTCGCTTCGACGTGTTCCTTCAATACCATCATTTGACTATTCAGTTCTCCGGGACTTTGGATGTCGTCTTTTAGCTTAACGCAAACTATCCTTCTCAAGACCTCCCTGTAATCGTCCGGTTCCAGGTTCGTCCTGACATTTGAATTGCACGATAGCTCCCTGAATGGTTTCCTTGACACCACTATCTTCTCAAATTCTTCTCCTCCGTATGCATCTTGTTGCTCTAGGTTGCACGTTCCTGCGGAAGAGTCTGTTTGTAGTTCCCTGTCGTGGTGCCTCATTTTCTCTTCTGCTTATATCATGCAAAGACTGTCTTGGTCATCGCCACTCTTCTCTGAATCATCCTCCTATTCTTCCAACTCCCCGGACAAATTCTTCCTCACTGTCTCCTTCTGATTTCGACCACTCCCCGGACTCTTGATCTGGTCTTAGGTGGTCGGCTTCCTTCTTGAATGTCACTTCCTTCTTTCGAAATGTTTTCCATTTTGGTATGTCCTCTGGGATTTTCTCGACCAATGTCCGTACAATTTTTTTTGTCGTCAGGTTGCTTGCCCATCGTTGAGTCATCGCAATGAGCCGCTTCTCCTCTTTTTAATATGGTGACTTCCGGTTTGTCTTTCTCATTGTTCCGGACTACCAGTTGATCGTCTGCTAGTTTCTCGAGTAGTCTTCACAGATCTTCTCCTATCGTCACCCTTCTTGTCTCCATTTCATCGAGGTCATAGCCTTTTGCTTTCTGTGTTTCGCTCATTTCCATCTTCGACTTGCGCATCATTTCCATTGGGATCCCTGTTTTTCTCTTTAGAATTTCCTTCGTCTCATGATCAGCTGGCAGCTCGGGATGGTCCTTTATTGACTTCCATGACTTGTCAAGCCACCTCGTGAGTGGAAGACTGCCATAGGTCTCCTTATCCATAAATGAGAAGCCATCTTTGATTTCCGGCCTGTCGGCCTCCCTCTGCTCCTGTCTCTCGTAAAACTCCGTCTTTTTGCTCAAGATGTCGGTATTCTGATGTTTGTTCCTTGTTCTGTGCTCAATAATCATGTTGTAACCATCCAGGCCCACTATCCATCTCCCAGTGTAACTCTGGTCCATTGAGTAAGTCTTTAACCAACTGAGTCATGGATTGTCGACTCGTTGTGAACTTGAGGTATGCCCAGGTATGCCCTGTAAAGTCCTGGGACTGTACGAAGTGTCCCAACACTCAAGCGAAGTGTCCCAACCCTCCTAGAACACTTCGCTTGAGTGTTGGGACACTTCGTACAAACCCAGAACTTTTCTGAACCCCCCTAGGACACTTCGCTTAAGTGTTGGGACACTTTGTTGCTTTCCCAAGACTTTTCTGAACTCACCCAGCACCCTTCGCTCAAGTGTTGGTACACTTCGTTGCTGTTCCAGGACTTTTCTGAACCATCCAAGGACCCTTCACTCAAGTGTTGGGCACTTCGTTGCTGTCCCAAAACTTTTCTGAACTATCCCAGGACCCTTCGCTCGAGTGTTGGGACACTTCGTACTGTCCGAGGACTTTTCTGAACCCTCCTAGGACCCTTCACTCAAGTGTTGGGACACTTCTTACGGTCTCAGGACTTTTCTGAACCCTCCTAGGACCCTTCGCTCAAGTGTTGGGACCCTTCGTACTGTCTCAGGACTTTTCTGAACCCTCCTAGGACCCTTCGCTCAAGTGTTGAGACACTTCTTTGCCCTCCCAAGACTTTACTGAACTCTCCCAGGACCATTCTCTTGAGTGTTGGGACACTTCTTACGGTCCCAGGACTTTTCCGAACCCTCCTAGAAAACTTACTTCGCTTGAGTGTTGGGACACTTCGTACAGTCCCAGGACTTTTCCGAACCCTCCTAGGACACTTCGCTCTTGTGTTGGGACACTTCGTACTGTCCCAGGACTTTTCCGAACCCTCCTACGACACTTCGCTCAAGTGTTTGGACAATTGCGTCTCTTGTTTTTTAGTTTTGGGAGAGTCAGATCTCTTGTTCCTTAGTGTTGGGACACTTAGATCACTATCCCAAGACCGAGTGTTGAGACACTTAGATCACAATCCCAAGGCCAAAAGTTGGGACACTTAGATCACAATCCCAAAACCCCAGGCTAGACTCTTTGCACTTCTTCCAACCTCGCAGCTCAAGTGTTTCTTCGTCTGATTGATGATTTCCCCTGTACGTTGTGTCGAGTATTGAAATTTCTGATCCACTCTCCCAGTACCACATCTAGAGCTCCAGTATTAAAAAGTACCCAAAACCCAATCCTGTTAATAAAAGTTTCACCTACTAACCACCCTGAAATTACCTTTCCTTTATTAGTCCGACGCAAGTCGAAACATGACTTGTTAGCAATTGCCTCTTGATTTCCGATTCGTTAAAAGCCAATTAAATTTGATCCGTGAACGTATAAATTAAATTGAGAAAAATGAAAAAATATTTTAAAAAAATGGTGAGTACACCCAAACTTCAAAGGCGACCAATGTGGTCTTTTCGTGAAAAAATGTCTGGTACCTGATTGTCACGCATTTTTCCTCCCCCCTACTAACGGCCTTGTGTGTATTCTTTTTTTGGGTTCCAAAAACTGTCTATTTCCGATCCCCCCACCCAATTTGATCAGGATATCACCTTATTTGATCTTAAATTTGGATATCTTCACGTTGCAACTCTTGTTATGAGTCTAAAGATGGATCGTTCTAGACTCTGGGTCTACTAATGTAACTAAATCGACGATATCGATTATATAGTTACTATAATGTGTCCCCCATTTTACAATTTTGTAGCGCCAATCTCTATCTTAACCAGCCCCCCTTCTAACATCCCCCCTATCTAGCCCCCCACTTAAGCCGAAAATTACCCAAAGCGCGATGGGTGCTAAACCTCTCGAGAGAAAACCGTAGAACCTGTTTCCAAGCTCTGAATATGTAAAAACGTTTCCTCAAAACGGTGGGCATCCGCTTGTCCAATTTTACACTTATTTTCAATAATGTAACGTGGATTTTAACGATAGCCGGTCGACCAAGCAGAGCAAGTTTGAATACCTTCCTCCGTTTGCTCTGTTCTGCTTTGATCACACTGCTGGCTGATCACCTGCTGGTTGGTCACACATTCCCCTTGGGCTGGTCACCTGTTCCAGTCAAGTGTCCCAGTGGTCAAATCTCCCAGTTGTCTACTTTCCCACTTCGCTGGTCACCTCTTCCAGTCAAGTCTCCCAGTGGTCCGCTGATGTTACAAGCTGTGTGAAAACCTTAAAGCGCCCCACATTCGGGCATCTCTACAACGTTGCTGATTTGATCGAGACGATCGGTTTTATTGGAAAACATTATAGGTATACTATTTTAATCAATTCAAAGGTTTGACCCACCTAACCTGGAAGTCAAAGCCACTGTCTTTTTTATGTTTTCTATAGTTTTTTGTTCCTATTTTTGATCTTTTGGTTCTTTGTTTCGCTTTTTGTCTCTTGCTTTTTTTTGTCCCCCTAGTGACCCCCCTTACTCGGTTAGCTAAGCCTCGTTTCGGAAAGCGCACCGGGAAATTTTCTCACATTTTCTGAAAAAACTAACGCAGTACAACCAAGAGGTGAATACATTTCCGTTGAACCGCGCCACCGGTACTCTAGAATGGGCTTGTAGCCCGGAGCTGTGTCAAGTGGGTTTGATCCCGTAGTCTTGATGTCGTAAAAACACCCAGGAGCGCCATAGAAACATTATGTAACAGTGGCCTACTTAAGTCACATATGAGGCTAAGAAAAAAAGGCCCTATAACCGTTGGCTCAAGGGTCAGGGACACTATCTCTTGTGTTTTTGTACCTCATTTAGTCGGAACAATCCGGTTCATTTGCCTCATGAGACTAAAACCTTTGTTACAACTTGAACGCCATTACTAAAAAAACCCCCTCTAGAAAATAAGAATGCCCCATACTCAGGTCTAAAAATACCTAAAATAAGCCATTGCCTTAAAAAACAGGATCGGAACCTCATGTATAGTTATTTTTAATTAGACAGTGGACCTTTGATCCATTTCAGGTTGATCAACCTGAAAACTCTCCCTAATTCAACATAACAATATAAAGCAAACTCAAGAAAATTAAATTAGATACTCATATACCGACATGACCTCTAGAATTGAGTAACTAAACTATAAAATTAACTCTAGAATTGATTGGTTAATCAATTTTAACTCGAGAATTTTGTAAGGAATAAGTTTCAGCTCATGAAAAAGATTTTGAGTCTGGACCATTGGGAGACTTCGGTTGTCCACTTTTCCACCGAAGGTTCAATCTAGTCCACTCGAATTTACTCTCCCTGCACTCGCGATTACTTTCTGTCTCCTGTCAAGAATAAGAAAGCTTTATTCTCGTTCTAATTATATATCGGAAATTTCGATTAGCAATTTCCCGCTGCTATTTTTGACTAATTTCCCGCGATTGCAGTTCGAATCTTCTGATACTATTTTTTTGATATTATCAGTTGTCGCGAAAAAATTGAGCATGACATGCTCAATTCGAATTTTTTGAAAAATTGCGTTTCACCCCAAAATCAAGACTAAACGTTTTCTCAAGGTCAAACTTCCAAATATGACCGACTGGCACAGTTTACTGGCTCAGCATCGATGAAGACTTGCTCAACAGTTTGACCTTTGACGGTTTCCCCGAGTGAGAGAACTCCCTTGGAGGTATCAGCTAATTAAGCAATAGCACTCGATATTTTTCCGGTGTTCATTAATTTATTCAATTGCTGTGCTTCAGTTTCTACTTTCTTTTTCTTACTCTTTACCAAGCACATTTGCAGCGCTTTTCCTTCGTTAAAAAGTTTGTCCAGTTCGCCCTTATGCCATTGCTTAAGCCGTCTTTCTATAGTTTTGGAATGCGAACCATTTTTCTCCAATTTGGTTTTACATTGCATGAGGTGAGGGAATATATTGTTGCGTGCATTGCGCATGTATTTTGTGTTTCCATTAACGAGATGAGGGTTCTATTTAGATTTGCTATAATTTAAACCGAATTCTATTTTTTGCGAGGATCATGAAGACTGGTTTGCAGTGCACTATTTGGTTGTAGATTGTTCTCATTTTATCTTTTAGTTCAGGTGTGGGATTTGACCAGGGGTCTGGTGTGGCTGTTTTAGTTTCGTTGCTGTTTGCAATGACAAGATTTTGATCGTTAGTCGAAGGAGCGTGTTGAGGTTGAGTTGGAGGGGCTTGAATGTCAGTTGTAGTGTTGTCTGTAATCAGGGAGGTGCAGCGAATGCAGCTGAAATTTTCGTCGTGGTCGCTGGCTCGGTTAAGGCCGCTGCATTTTACATGCATATAGGCTGCGCATGTTAGGCTGCGCAAGTAGTCTTTTTCTTGATTGTCGTTTTCAGCGTTTTCTTGCCCCAGGCTAGTTTCAATTCTTCTTAAAACGAAAGTACTTTAAATTTCTTGAGATGTAGTCTCCTAAGTTTTTTCTTGCACCATTTACAGATTCTACTAGCATAAACTAGCAGAGTTACATTTTTAGTTCCTATCATCTGATAGTGATCTGCTTAGCCAATACATAGTAGTAGTAGAACAGCATTTAGGGTTGTTATCCCATGGGTTTGCACCCAAAATGTAGTTTTAGTGTTAATGAGTTCTGAGTTTTCCATTTGGGTTACAGTTTCCACATGGACACATTATTCGCCATGTGCAGCTGTCCATTTCTGAGTATCTTTCAAAGAATTTCCAATAAGTTTCCGCTATGTCAGATTTCTGTATGTCAGTTAACTGTTATGAGGTATGTCGAATTATGACATTGGAAAGTGCTGGGCATATAATGAAGAAGTCGGTATTTCGGTATTTCATATTCGTTTCTTTCATTTTGTCTCGTTGAGCTTTTGGTGTTTTCGGCATATTGTTTAATGTCAATTTCGTAGTTATTGCGAACTATAGAAATGAACAGAAGGAGGTCGAGCATTTCAATGTACAGAGACAGCGGTAGCTTTCTTAATTTTTGTAGTCTACACTTATAAGGGATAGGTGAGTTAACAATCCATTTGGTCGCCGTTCGCTGAACCTTTTCAATTGCTCAGAGGTTTGATTTCGAGTAGTGCGTTACTGACGCGCCATAAACTACTATTGGGACTACATATCCCGTGTATGCATTTAGCTTAGAAGTTATAGGACAGTTTTTAGAGAGGTTACGCTTTAGTGAGTAAAGAGCCGATAGCGACTTCTGACAACGCTTAGACGCATTTACATTCCATGAGAGAGTGGGTGTTACTAAAGTTCCTAGATCTTTTTGTTCAAATTCGATTTTTAGGATCTTTCCATTAATTTGACCTTCCAGCTCGTTTTTGAAATTAATGAGAGTACATTTTCCGGTATTTAGACGCATTTGGTTTTTACTACACCATTTTTCAATTGTCGTAGTGGCATAGTTCATTTCTGTTTGAGTTGTTGCTATAACCTTAAAGTCATCAGCATATCCAAAAGAGTCAACTAGATTCAAGTTTTCTGGTAAGTCGTTTATATATAGTATGAAAAGTAATGGTCCCAATCGAGAACCTTGAGGGTCACCACTTGTTACGTAACATATCTTAGACTTTGCTTTGTTTATTCGCACGTACTGTTTTCGAAGGAATGAGTAAGAGGCTATTAGTTGAATTGCTTTTCCTCCCAAACCATAACACTTCAATTTATGCTTTAAAAGTTGATGCGGAACGCAGTCAAAAGCATTTTCAAAATCTAGATAGAGCGCTGTTATATTTTTGGTCGTTTGGTCATCATAATTTTGGTATACTTGATGTAAGTAAGCAAGGAGTTGGGTAATTGCTGAACCTTTTTTACAAAAACCATTTTGAGAGTTATGAAGATGATGTCGCACTTTTTGAGAAATGTAGTCAAATAAAACCTTTTCGAAAATTTTTGAGATGCAGCATAGTAAACTTATCGGTCTGTATCTTTTAATATCGCATTTGATCCCATCTTTGAAGATTGGGACAACTTCACTTAACTTCCACGTTTCTGGGAATATACCTTTATCCAAAAAAGTTTGAAAAATTAGGAGGATTGATTTTGATACTGTTTTCGCTAAGTTTGTATAGACAAGATTTCCCAAATTATCTGGACCTGTTGCTTTATTGATGTCTAGTTCGAGTATTATTTTCTCAATGCAGTCTTTATTCGTCTTGATGTGGTTGTATTTTGCTTTTTCAAAGATATTTAATTCGGTTATTTGTTCCGCTTTCGTAAATACATTACAGAAGAATTGATTAAACGCATCGCATTTTTCTTTGTCTGTCTCAAGTTCTTTGCCGTCAAGTTTCATTATCGAAGGTGATCTAGGTACTCTTCTTATGCTTCGCAAATACTTCTGAATTGTACTAAACTTTCTTGGTGCAAAAATCTCCAATTCGAAGATTTTCTGATCTTTATCAGCAGAAATTTTTATTTTTTCTTCTAAGTTTGTAGTTTTAGATAGAATTTCTGGTTTCGGATAGGATTGCTGATTCCGAAGTAAAGTTTCTTTGCGCTTAATAAGGTGGGAGGTTGGGGGTGTGATCCAAGGGGGGACTGTGGCTCTATGTTCTGTTACTCTAGGTATATTTTCTCTCAGAATTCTCCAAAGCCAGGTGTATCATTGATCAAGTAAAAAATCGCAGTTACTGAAGCAAAACGGTGTGAAGGGATTATTGATTATTGTAGTGTTGATTGCACTCCAATCTGCTCTTTTGAATGCATATTTTACTTTGTCATCACTTCTTGTTTCAATTAGCCTTTGGTTCAGATTGATTTATGTTCTAAAGGCATTGTGATCACTGAGGTTCTTGTTTTCTATTGAACACATTTTATAAACATTTTCATCAATGAATGAGTTAATGATTAGGGAGGGGTTGTTGACTAGGAAAACATCTAAGCGTTTTGCTTTTTCAGAAGCCAGTATTTGTTCAAAACTGTGATCAATTAAAGTTTCAAGGATTAGATCTTCCTCGGGATCATCTGATGCCATTGCTTTCCAGTCATTCTACTAGCATAAACTAGCAGAGTTACATTTTTCGTTTCTATCATCTGATAGTGATCTGCTTAGCTGATACTCACATCCATACATAATTTTTAATGAATAAAGTGTTTCTTCTAAAGAATTTCAATTTAAATTTGTTGTGATAATTGTTGTGATAAACTTTTAGCCTAATTGTTGTGATAAACTTATTAAATAGATTTGTTATGTTTGATGTTTGTGCCTGTGTGTGCAGCGCCCTCTGAGGGATTTTAGAGACAGGTCTGTCAAGTGGCTTGAGGAGTCTGGTGGTGCGCCGCTGGACCTACTGAGCTCGGGTGAGATTGTTCCTTGTTTTTGATTTTTATAATTCAATTTTAAAATTTAAATTAATTTAGTTGTCTTTTTTTATTTGCTGATTTGTAAAACTCCCACTAACCGCTTATCATGGGTTAGTTCAGTCCCCTAAAGTCCAGTCAAAATCCTTTTTTTTACCTTTATTCTGCGTCAAGATGAGGAAAAACAACAAAGAGTGTACAAGCAAAGATTGCTTAAAACCTTCAGGACTGATAAATTGGATTCTATGGGATTGTTGTTCTGGTTGGTATCATATCAGTTGTGTAAATATTTCTCTTAGCGATTCTAAGAAAACCCAATGGTTTCAGTGTCCTTTATGCGTTGATGTAAAATCTGTTAATAAAGCAACAATAGGTAATGATTTAGTGCTAGACAATTATGTTAATACAGCCATCTCAAATGTCCGAGTACTCAAGAGAGTACCAAAAGACTCGCGTGTTCCCTTGGCGGAAAGTCTGTCGGACAAAATAAATGACATCGTCTACAAGGTAGAAGATGTTACAAAATGGCTAATTATTTTAACGTCGTTCTTGTTTTTTTTTGGAGCAAACGAAAAGACGTGGACGCAAACAGACCACAAGCATGAGCTCTTTGATAAATTAAAAAATTCGAGCAAATGACGTGTCACTTCTAAAACTCCATCCCCAAGTTTCAAGCCCGCCTCTGAGTGACCTCGAGCAGAGAATAAAGTTAATAAGTAGTAAGCTCGATGAAGGAAATGTAAAGGGAGGAATAAGGCTTGCTGCTTCGGATGACAAAATAGCTCCTTTTTCAACTGATAACTATCAAAAATTGTTGTCTAAGCACCCGCAGCGAGCCAAATTTGCAGCTCCAAATCCAGAAAAGTTGGATAGTTTGTTCGTAACCGATTTCGACCTATACAAAGCGATAATGTCCTTTCCAAACGGATCAGCAGCAGGTCCTGATAAAATAGTTCCTCAAATTTTTAAAGATCTTGTTAGTAAGTCGAATGGCAGTGCAGGACTTAATTTTCTGAAATCGCTTACTTAGCTGATAAACCTCATTGGAGATGGCAAAATACCCGAACCACTAAGGCCTTTCTTTTTTGGCGCAAAGCTTATCGCCCTCATAAAGATACACGGAGGGTTGAGACCGATTGCCATAGGCAACACGCTGAGTCGTATCGCGTCTAAATGCGCTGGAAGCAAGGCCCTCTCCGAGCGACAAAATTTTTTCGGAAACGTACAGGTAGGATGCGGTACCAAACGAGGAGCAGAAATAGCTGCGCACTCGTTTTGAAACCTAATTGAACGCGACTGAAAAGCATGCCAAAACTCCTATATTTTTTGCGTACGAGCCCTTGTTTTTTGCAAAATTATTTTTTGGAACGCTACGATAAATTACTAAGAAATTCATTATGCAAGGTCACTAACGTGAAAATGGATGATAACCAGTTTTTACAAGCTGTTCTCCCGGCAGCGAAAGGTGGCTTAGGCGTTTCTTCCGCTCGTCTACTCGCTTTACCCGCTTTCTTAGCCTCAGCAGTAGGAGCAAAAGATGCCTTGAGCGAAATCTTTGGTTTGGAGCATGTGGATGGAACCTATGATGATGCGCTTAAACGGTGGTTTGACCTTGGAAAAATTGAAATGGCTCCAGAAAATGAAATCCAAAAAAATTGGACGGAGCCAATTTTTGACAGCGAAATTGCAGACTTGATTTTACGACTCGAACCAACGGACGTAAAAAAGTTCAACGCGTTCCAAGATAGATTTGGCTCCCAATGGTTGAACGTCATCCCGTGCAAAAATTTAAGGTTAAAACTGTCGAACCAACAACTCAGAATTGCGATAGGACTTCGATTAGGATCAAAAATATATGAACGGCATAAATGCGTGTGCGGAAAAGACGTTACCGAGGATGGTTGGCACGGTCTTTCTTGCCTCAAAAGTGCAGGGAGATTCTCTAGGCATTCAAACCTGAATGCCCTTATAAAGCAGAGTCTATCATCTACTCACATTCTGTCTGTTTTAGAACCACGACACCTCTACAGGACCGATCAGAAGCGACCAGACGGTTTGACGCTCGTTCCATGGGCTGATGGTAAGCAGCTCTTGTGGGATGTAACGGTAGTAGACTCCTTAGCTCCTTGTAGGATTAATACCGGGTCTGTTTGTAACCCTGGTACGGTTGCCGCTGAAGCGGAAGAGCGAAAAATTGACAAGTATAAAGATCTTGTAAATGATGGATATCTTTTTCAACCGCTAGCTTTTGAAATTCTGGGCGCGGCCGGCCCCAGCACAAGTTTTTTTGAGCAAGCTTTGTAAGAACCTAAGCATATGCACTGAGGAACCCAGAGCAGGCAGCTTTTTAAAACAGAGAATCTCCCTGGCAATACAGATTGCGAACGCCGCTTGCGTACTCGGAACAATAAATGATAAAATAACTTTCGACGAAATTTTTTACTTGTAACACTTGTATATTATATTATCTCGTGTCGAGTTGCGTGTTCTTATTGAAGAAACGTAACCCGTATCGATTTTAATTGAAAAGGACTTAAACACTTGTCATCTTCTTTTATCATTATCACTTCCATATCTAAAAAATTCCAAGGATTTTGACTGGAATACATGATGAAGGGACTCATGACTGTAACCTCGGTTACTATGATACTTTTGACCTTCTGATTACCCTGAAAAAAAAAGAAAAAAAAAGAAAAAAAAAATTTATCATTATCACTTCCATATCTAGAAAATTCCAAGGATTTTGACTGGAATACATGATGAAGGGACTCATGACTGTAACCTCGGTTACTATGATACTTTTGACCTTAAGAATTCCAATTAAAGAAGTTTTAGGTGAATGAATCATGGTGGATATGATAGGAGGATGCCTTGGAGGTTTGTTTTGGACCGTTAGATTGGTTCCCCTTGTTAAAATATAGATTCCTTTATTTTTTGCTGTTTATAAGTGCATTATTCTTTACTTAGTTTTTAGGTGCCTTCGGCGTGGTTGCATGTCATCCATTCGATGTTATTAAGGTCATATAGATTGAGATGATGATATCATTTCCTACGTGATGTTGTTTTATGAGTTTTTGTTATAGTGCAGACTCCAGTCACAAACGATTGTAAATAGCAGGGATTGGAGAAATACTGATAGGAACACTTGAAAATTGACTTGCACTTGTACAAATTGAAAATTGTTGTCTTATTTTTGTATATTTGAAAAAATTTACTACTGGCAATTAAAATGTTTTTTTTTCCAAAGTTTTATTCTAATTTTCTTGGGAACTACTTGGAAGAATTTAATTAAAAAATGGAATTTGGAGTTTTGGAAAACTGTACCCCTTTGCTTGAAGTCATGATTTGAACTTGATATGTCGAACCATGAATTTTTTTAAAAGGAAAAAGAGTTAAGATCAACATAAAATTAGCTCCAATCTCGACAGCAGTCACCAACAAGGAGGTTTGAAGTGGCAAAAAGCATTTACAATGTCTACCGCACTGAATCTGTAAGTTTTTAATCTGGAGTAAAATTTTTTTTAGTGAATGAGGTGAATTTTAACTTGTTTTGGTCTAATGTTTTTTTCTTCATGGATAAAGTCCAAAAATTTCATGCTAAAATTAACTTTTTTTGTTGTTCACTTTTTGATTTCTTTTTTAGTTCAATTCAAATTCAATTGAATTCAATTCAATTGCTCTCTTCAGAAACGAAAATGCAAATGAAGCGACACCAGTAATGAAAGTGTAAAAAAAGAGTTCGCAGCCTAATTAAATAAATTACCTAAACCCAGTTTTCTCTATTTTATTTTGGTTAGTTTTTGTGAAAAGTGTCAATCATAAAAAATGAAATTTACTTTATATAAATTTTCTCCGAAATGCGGAAGATGAAAATTGTTGTTAAAAACTCATTTTTTGGTTTCCCTGATTCTTTACCAACTTTTTTCTATTGGCTGTCTAAACAACTTTGGTTTGTTAGAATAGCTGGTCTTTTTGTTCCTAATTTAAGTAATTTTTGTTTCTAATATGCTGGTCGATGGGTGAGTTTAGTAAACATGATGGTAAAATGCGACTTTTTTTCGTAGATCACAGGGCTGTACAAAGGCATGGCTTCACCGTTGGCTGGAAATACTATGGTTTATGGTCTTTTGTTCGGAGTAAATGAGGTCATCGCTTCTTCGCAGCAGTTTAACAAAAACAATCCCTGGCACCATGTATTTGGTGGTTTTATGTCCGGTTCTATCCAGTGCGTAGTAGGAACTCCATCTGAGCTGTCTAAAATCAGAATGCAGGTTCATAGATTTCGTTGCCGAGCAATATTATTTGAAATTTCATTTGATTTTTATTTCTTGATTGCTTTTAGCTTCAAGGAATTGGGATCAATTACACTGCCAATAAAAACTACAAGAAACATTATTCAAATTCATTTCATTGTCTTTACGTAATCGCCAGGCGACATGGCTTGAGAGGTGTCTATCGAGGGTTGTTTGCTAATTTAATGAGAGACGGGCCTGGTTTCGCAGTCTACATTGGCTTGTATGAATACTTGTTCACGTTTTTTGAAATAGACACGACTTCCAAGCGCCTGATGCTGTCGCCCATTTTCGGGGCCATTGCTGGATGCGCTGGTTGGATATCCACGTACCCTTTTGACACAATCAAAACCGAGTTCCAAGCCAAGTCTCACTATACTTCTTATACCGAGGTCAAGTGATGAACATAAATACTTACTGTTTTCTCCAAAAATTTTGAGCTATGTATAAGTTTTAGCATATGACTGTAAGTGTTTGGAAGCATTTTTTGGCTTAATTTCAAATTCCTGAAATTTCGGAAGAATCTGCTTTTTAAATGTGACTATAGTTAAACTATAACTGTGGTCGGAACCTTCTTTGCTACTGGCACCTGAATAGGCTTTTTTTGTTGACCCGATGGGATATAAAATTCTCAAAGACTCAGATGGAACTATGACCAGGTGTGGTTGTTTTTCCCGCAATTTCAAGTACATAATGCATCGAATGTAGCGTCATTTGAAAATCCTTTCAATAGGTCGTGATTCAGTTTCCCAAAAAAATTGTGTCAAAAAAACTGATCCGAATAGTATGCTTTGCCACTTAACTTGCCGCTAAGGGGAGGAGCGGATGAGGTCTCGAACTCTGATTTTGCTGTTGTTTTTAATCACTTAGCTAAAAAAAATTGTTACAACTAGTAAAAGTGAAAAAAAAGCTCGCCCATTTAGTCGGCAATTGCTGGATGCGCTGGTTAGGATATCCACGTATGTTTGAGACTAATAAAATCGAAATCAAGGCTAAGCCTTACCATACTTTTTATATAGATGATGAGCATTAGTGCCTTCCGTTGACACCAAAACCTATTTGTGTTAGTGTGAATGTGCGTCTATGCTAAAACACTCGGATTGGCTTATGGGTTGGCTACTATTAACGTTTTTTTGATCACTCTGAAGGCTTTTTGATGACTTTTTCCCCAACAATTGCAGATGCGTAGTGCATAGAGTGCAGAATCAGGTTGCAGATTTTTTAGTCGTGATTCTGAATATTTTGCTATTCAGACGGTATTACTGTTCAGGTGGTTGACGAGCTCTGCCGATTTTATTAAGCGTTTGTTTTTTAATCTTCCCCTGCCGTAAAAATGTTTTTCACTCTGATTACTATGTTCGGAACATTATGCTTCTTGCACAACAACCGGTCACTTGTTGCAACTATGAGAGTCCTGCAATTTGAGTCTCAGAGGAAAGTCAGATTATTCGTCTTTGATATCATATTAAAGCTTTTTTAAGTGGTCATTGAAGTTTCGAAAGATTTTTTTTTAAAATGGTGTCAAGTAAAATTGCTGAAAGTTTCCGTGTTTGTTTTTTGGATCAATCTGTCGCGGGTAGTGGAGGAAATGAAAAAAAAAGAAGTGAGAGTGGAACGCTATTTGCCAAACTTTTCAAATGTTAGTTATACTTGCGAGAGACGTGTATTGCAATCGGGTTCATCTGGAGGGCTCGCAGACTGCTCATCTACTGGAGGGACTTTTCGCAATTTTAGTGCAACAGACGTATTTTGAGTGCTTGCATTTCATGTATCACCTGTTCTGTTTGCGCATGCGAGCTAGCGAGCGTTGGTGTTTCTGAACCCCACTGGACAGAAGGGTAGACTTATCAAGCTCTTCCTGTTGCTAAGAACGCTCATCTTAATAATAATTACCCTTGCGAAACAAAGCGTGATTCTCGGAAATGTCAATTTTCTGAATTATAAACGTTTTTTGAATTTGTCTCGATAACAATCCTCCCAAATCTGATATCATAGGCTTAATCGACTGAATTGTTAACCGTTTTTTGAATTTGTCTCGATAACTATCCTCCCACATCTGATATCATAGGCTTAATCGACACAACAGGTTCTTGGAAGCTTACCTTTATAGCTTGCTATGCCCGATTTGTTTCAGAAAAAATTATGGACCTCAAACAAGTGAAAGTTATGAAAAATTGACCGTTTTTTGTAACTTTTTTTTACTCTTCTCGAAAATAACCGTACCAATTCGTAGTTTAAGTGTTTTTTGAGAATTTTTTCTACTTTAGCGACCAACCTGCTTTTAGCCAAAAAAAAGTTACAGATTTCGGAAAGTTTTTGAACTTTGTCCGTTTTGTTGAAACTTTTTGAATTTTCTTAAAAACTACCCTATCAAATCTGAGATGAAAATTTCAATTGAAAGAAGCGGTTGCGCGAAGTTTTCCTGCATGGACGGCTACTCCTTAATCATTTGCAAGAAGAAGGTTATATCGTTGGGAAGATTCCAAAATCTCAAAAATTGTTTCTCTTCTCAATTTGCTTATTAGAAACAAATAAGCTTTTGGGAAAAGTTCATTTTTTGAAATTACGCAATTCCTCCAGAATCAGTGGCAAATTCAATAAATATCAAACACGTACCTCCAGCTTTAGGTGGGTCCTAGGTGTATTTCATCGAGAGATACGAAAGTTTTGGTTCACCTAGTTTTTTCTTGAACGTTTTTGATTTGTTTCGACTTTTGCTTTTATGATGCTGTTATATCGCAAGTGGTGCGAAGTTCCGCTTCACCGCTGTGTATTAATACCAAAATAGGAACGCTACTTTTCTCCAGCCCAACTCGCAAATAAACGTGCTCATTTGGGGTACTATAAGCTCCAGTGGCACAGGTCTGTGCGGCAGTCGACTTAAGTTATTGGTTGTTCGAGGGCTGATGTTTGAATCCCGTAGAGGTCAATTTTTCACAACTCATTTTTCCTCTAATTTTCTTGCTTTTTTTTCAATTTTTGACCCTTTAAAAGCTACCTGGTGTTTTTTGCGAAGTGTAGTTTTGCTTTTGTGTGTGAGTTTTTAATCTTTGTTATACTGTTAGTAACTTTTTGTGTTAACAACTTGCTGAACATTTGATAGCTTGGCTTATAACAAATTCAAATTGCTCAGCTTCTCTGTTATACTTGGTAGTAGATGAAACAACTACGCCTGAAACAGCAAAGGTTGTCGATTCGAATCTGGACAGGTTCTGTTTTTTTTTTTCAAACCGGAAAAGGTTCGTTACAAAATTGTTGTCGGACTGTTTGTCTGCTTAGTTTTTCAGTGGCTTAGTTGCAACATCACGGGTTATGCTTGTGCTGTTTGCAATTTTCATGATTATTGAAATTTTTTTCATTTATTCTGTAAATTATAAATTTACTAAATCTTTGTTTCTTTTAATTTCCTTTTAGTTTGAGTTTTGGCTCAAAGGTTTTTTGACCTCAAATATGCTTTGGCTTTTAATTTATAGGAGTTGGTGGTTTGATTTGCGTCGTTTTAAGGAAAAATAGCTTCATGGTTTATGAACTAAGTTTATAGTATCTCAATGTTCATCACTACGCCGTGCAGGTGGTGACCTTCTTTCGCCAATCGGAGATGGGATTGTGGAGGTCTTTATGGAATGGGCTGGGCGCGTGCATGATTCGCACTGCAGCCCAGGTACCAACCATGTTCTACACTTTGGAACTGTTCAGAATAATAGCTAGCGGATCGAAATAATTTCTCACATTAGTCAGGGATCAAAATAACCAGATCACATATGTTCGCTTGCTTCTGCTTTTATTGGTGCTAAAACTTAGTTTGGTATCTTATTAAGTTATCGATAGTTTATCTTTGCAAATGATTGTTAAAAACCGTTTTTTTTTTGGATGCTTGCTTCTGCTTTCATTGGTGCTAAATTTTAGTTTTGTATTTTTTAAATTACTCGATAGTTTAGTTATTTATCTTTGCAAATAATTGTGTAAACAATTTTTTTGGATCTAGAATGGATTTTCGGATTATTTGTTTTAATTTGTAAATTAAACGGATTTATATGTTGAATTTTATGACAGTAACGTGTCGAAATGGTTTGATGTGTGCAAAGAAACAGCCCGGAACGGAAGACGATGGAGAGCACTTTTTCGAGACCTGAATGTAGCGGGCAAAAGGCATCATTGTTCATGAAAGCCCTACCTGGAAATGACTAAGGTTCTATCAAAATTGATTGGCAAGTGGTTTGAAGCTCCGCATAACATACATACATACATACATACATACATATATGCATGCATACACGCATACATACATACATATACAGTGAGTTATCTGTGTGTCATTCAATTTTGATGTAAGTTAGTATGTTGAAAATTAGTGTGAAGATTTCGAATCACGTTTTTTTTTCACTTGCGAGAGCAAGTGGCTTGTAATCAGGAACTAGATGTCCCCTCGTAAACAAATTTTGTTACAGGCTAGAGGTATGTGGTTCGATTTTGTACCTTTCCTTGTGTATGTATACCTTAATTTAATAAGAAACCTCATTATTTTCAGGCCCCTTGTCAATTGGTCTAGAGGTAAAACACATGACTTAAGTCTGGAGATCGAATCCCGAATGGTTCTCGTTTTTCCTCGATGTGTGGAAAAATAATTTTTTTTTGGGAAAGTTAATCTTGACTAGTCTTACTATTATTTGTCTGGTTGTTTTCTGTTGGCTTACTTTCTTAAGCATAGATTATATTTCAAAGTATCGAGATTCGTCTTATTTGAACAATTTGAAATGAAAGTCGTTCTACAGTTAGTAACTTAAACAACTGATTTTGTTAATTTTTTCGTTATGATAGCTTAAATAAGTTCGGTTCATTTCATATTGACTTACTTAACTCATTTTGCGTTTTTTAAAGTGCAAAAATAGATTGTTCTGCTCTTGTGTGTTTGAGAAAGAATAGGGCGTAAAAACTAAAGCTCAAATTGTTCTTTGAGATTATAAAGAGTCGAGGAACGCAGTTCAGGCTCTTATATAGGTCGCGATGATTTTTTTGCTTGGTTTGTTTTCCTGGAAAAGCTGTAAATTTTGTTCGATAATTTGTTCATTCTTTCGAAAATCGAATTTTTCATCAGATTTCTTGGCGAAACAAAATGTTGCCTAATGATCCAGTTTTTTCAAATTATGTTAATTTTATGATTAAAAAATCACCATAAATTGTTACAGAAATTCAGAGAGCTTTAAGAGCATCTATTTTTTTCTTGGAAATTCAATTACCAAGAAAAAAACGAGCAGCAAAAATTGATGATAATTTTTTAAAATAATTCAGGTCGGTTGGGGGGTGTAAAGAAGCATTTTTTTTTTTCAATTAAACGCTCAATATTGTTATGACAATTCCCTGTGGAATTTTTTGTTTTCCGCTCACTGGACGCTCGATAATCAATAAAAGCTTGTTTATTGCTGCGCGTTGTGTTTCTTGGTTGTTTTTCTGAAATTGAACTTTCCATTTTTCTTTAAAAAAATATATTTTAATTTTCGCTTTTGTTATTATCGTCTCATTTTCTTTTTTCTACAAAAACAATTTTTTCTCGGTTGTTCCAAAAAACTTTCAAAACTTGTCAAAGCTTGGTTGTTCTCAAAGACAGATGGAAAAACCTGGTATATCGTTAGAAAGGCCTCACAATTAGTTTCTTGTGTTTTTGAAACAATTATTAAAATAAGTATAGTCTTATGTAAAAGGAAGTTCAAATAATTCAAATTTTAACTTGTGTGTAATTTTGAATTATCTAACTTCACAGTTTTTGAGATTAATGAATGTAGTGAAGACTCTTATGTAGGTTTTGCTGATTTTTTTTTTCAGGAAAAAGTCTCAAAATATTGATGCACTTAGGTATAATGCACTTTTTGAGTTCAATTGAAATTCATCTGCTGACAGTGACGTAATTAGTACTCTTTAAATTCGAACGTGGAAATGGCGCGAAAAAGCGTGAACGATTTCTAGTTTTGAAAGTGGAATTTATTTTTAAGATTTCCCAGCGGAATAAAAACTCTAGTTGCGTTCATGTTATCAAAAAAGGGCCACTCACAAATTGTTCTAGAAACTCAAAGAGCTCGAAGGCCATCTATTGTTTTCTTTGAAAGTTGAGATTTTTTTTTTAACAAAGTCAGTGTTTTATTATGTTTACTTACGTGCATACCTCTTTTTCTATCTTCGATTGGCTATGTTCTTTGCTTTCAGACAAACTTTTACTTCGGCACGTTGGACCTTCGCCCTCTTACTGAGTGGTACAGAGCGCTTAGCTTTATTGCATTAAAGCGTTTTCGTGCGGCTAGTTATATGCAGTTACCTGGTTCGGGGGCCGTTCTCGTGATGGAGGCACAGAATGATGAAATATTTTAAATCAAACAGAGGTTCCTATTTTCTGAATGGGTTTTGTACTGAAGTCAAAATTACCAGAAAATGAGTTATGACCGGCAGATTCCTGGCAGATACACTAAAAACAGTTCTGTTTTTCAAATTTTCTTAAATCGCAGTCTGCGAAAAATTATATATTTCAATACGTCAATGTTTTAAAATTCATGTATATGCAACCTCGTTTTGTAATCGGCATGTATCAAATTTAATGGCCTGCATTTATTTGCTTACTGAGTTTTCAGCGATTTCTGAGAGATTTCTGATTGGCTCAAGTTTACGTTCCATCTTATGGTCTCGCCATCGTCAGGGACGCCACCACATGGTTCGAATGCCGCAATAGTAAATTGTATGTTTCCTATTTTCAAGGATTAACTTTTTTGAAATTTTTTTGTAGTTTGCTGGTTTTTTAGATTCCTTTTTTGTTTGTTTTGAAGCTCGTTCTAGTTGCGAAGTGTAGCTTTGACTCTGCGTCCGTAGTATTCTGTTCATTTAGGGAGGTATCTGTTGGAATGCATGCTTCTCAAGTGGAAGCGGGCAATTCAGTCAATAGATGTGGCTATGGTGATAGTCACTCAGCTCTTTAAATGTACTTGGTATAGAGGACGGGAGAATTCTTCATGCGCGAAGGACTGACGCGTGAAATTTTTTTCAACCAATCAGAGCTCAGTGTTCAAAAATTCGAAATAGGCGATAAATTCAGTAAGTTTGGACAGTTTAAAGTGTGTTGATTGGTTGAGAATTTTTGCGCAAGAGAATAGAGCCCCCGTACGGACAATACGCTGGTGTGAAGGTCAGTGGCACTGGATGATGTGAAGGAGGAGACTGGCAGTCTTTACTGTTTATCGAGTACCCACTAACTGGAGGTAGAGCAGTTCGAATATGTACACAATAGATTTGGTTGGATTAGAATGGACCGAGTGGAGCCATAAAACCAATAACGCCTCGAATTATTACTTCCTAGTAGCTAATATGACCTAATTCAAATGAGTTTAGTCGAAGTGGACTTGCATAGGAGAATTTTAGTGCGTCAAGTAGAATGGAACAGTTGCCGATTGTGATGAAATTTTGTCAAATGCCAAGTTGCTCAAATCAAGTCGGTTGTATCAAGATATCTGAATAACATACGGGATTGTTAATTGGATTCGCTGGTAGCATTTTTCTGCAGCAGTGTTTGTCTGTTTCGAATCTTTGTGCTCTTAGTACAGTATGATGGCCGCTCTGAATTTATTTTTTGAACTCAGTGTAACTAAGTTCAAATACGAAGTTATCTTGGTATCTTAAAGAGGTTGAAAGTTTTGCTGGATACAAAACTATAAATTAAATTTCGTGCGGATGTTGGATTTCAACTATGTAATTTGCGGCTCTAGTAGTCAGAACAGATCAAACAAACAGAAAAGAAGGTAGCATAGAGGTCTTTGAAAACTAAGAAAACTATGCAAATCATGTTCACATGGTTTATATCCGGTCTCATTTTTAACCTTGCGATATACAAACGTTAACCTTGCAATAACAAGGGTGTTGCAACCGGGTACTAGATTTTTTCTCGTGAACAAATTTGTTCACAAGATTTCGCAGATGTTTCATCTTGCCTCATAATAATTTCTATATCAATCTGGCGTAGAGGTAACACACCTGCTTGAAAGGACAAAGGTTTGGGGTAATTGTTCAATTATGTGCACTTAATTGTTGCGAATGCGATGGTTGTGCTCGCGATTAGCAAGCGTTATCAATTCGGAGCATAGACTTATTCTTGTAACCAACTTTTCCAACAAAATCACTGAATCATTTTCTCAAGTCTGCACTTTCGTCAACCAACAGACATAGTTTGACATGGTTGCATTTCAAATACCCGTTGTAATTAATATTTGTTTTAATGTTAGTTTTAATTTTATCAACTTCAGTTTGGTGTCATAAAGATTTTTTTGTATACTCGGCTGAAAAGTTTTTTTTTGGTTCAAACTTAATCGGCTTTGTGACATATATTGCGTCGTTGAATGAGCGACAAGTTTTCTATGCGTACGAGTCTTTTGAGGAATGTTTTAATTTTGTCTGGAACTTTTCAAATTTTTTCATCAAAATATATTTTTGGCGCAAAAGGCGTCTTCTCAAAAAGTTTCGTTTTTAATACCGCTTTGTTTCTATGCAAATGTAACTTCCAATTTTTTTTATTTGTGTTTTTCCAAAAAGTGAATTTTATTAAATACAAAGATATAAAGTTTCAAGAAGATCTAGCTTTTCTCGACGTTTTCAAATTTGTTGACGTAGCAGATTCGTCTCAACTCCTGTCTGCTAGTTTCTCATGCCAAGGTTGTATTCTATCGCAAGTGGTGAGAATCTCTGCTTTGCCTCTCTGTTAGAATAGTCTAAAAAGATCGAAAACTATCAGCAACGTCAACAAAAGTTGAATTAGTCCCTTTTGTCGAAATACTTTTTCGCAGAACTTCAATTGCTTTAACTGTAAACTAGTGTATTGTTATCAACAAATTATTTGTTATGGACTGTGTTTAGGGATAAACGGTGTCCGCTCGATTAGCATAAAAGTTTGAAAACATGAAAGTGTATCAACTAACATAACTCTGATGGCTTTAATTCTCATAAATACAAAACGACAAAAAGAATCCTTTCAAACTGAAACTTGCCTTTCGATCAAATAGAAAAATGAGAAATTAAAATAAACAAGCAAATGAATTTCCATATCCCATAAATAGTCCTACGATAAATTGCAATAGGGGAGGATTTAGAGAGGGGCGGGGTTGGAGAGCGTTGCAAAAGGGGGATTCGTTTCGCATATGCTTATAACCGTTAAATTAATTCATTAAGGGTTGGAAATTCGTTCAACCCCCCCCCCCTGGCGATTAGTTTTCAGCGGAATGTATTTCTATCTTGTTTAACGGGGATAGTTAGCAAGAACCAATGGTTTCAATTTGGACAAAATTTGAACTTTGACAATATTTCGATTTTTATGCTAATCGATACGATTTTTATTATTAAAACTTTTATGCTAGTCGAGCTTTATGCTAGTCGATACACCGCCTGATAAACATGCATTCTTTTTTCAGCCGAAATAGTTGACTGCGAAGTTTTCATCGACTAATTGTAATGCAACCGGTTAGAGATAATGCAAGACACCGCATGCCTGTCGTGAAGAACCAGGCTAGCTCTCTGATTATGAAAGCTGAAATGCCGCGAAAAAACTTGATCGATTTCTAGTTTCGAAAGTGGAATTTAGTTTTTCGATTGCCCAGCTGAATAAAATTTTTTTCTAATAATACAATTTTTTCAAACTGGGCCATTTTCATCAAAAAAGAGCTGATTTTAAATTGCTCTTGAAACTTAAAAGCTATATATTTTTTGTTTGAAAATCGAAAGTAAAGATAGTTTATTCAAAAAAACAAGCCAGGTTTTTTTAGTTGCTTACATTTTTACTTTTACTTGCAACTTTTACTTACATTTGTACATTTTACTTGCTCTTTTCTGTCGGCTATGTTAACTATTTGCACATTTAGACTATTTTCAGGTTTTCGATGAGTGCAGAAGTGAAACCAGAATGTGCACCTGAACATCCGCTGCCATCTGCGTTTATCACTCAAACCCCTTCCCAACTACACTCCGAACTAGGAAGCTGTTTCGAACCGGGTGATGTGGTGTGGGCGTATGTAAAGGGTCACCCCTGGTGGCCGGCAGTTGTCAGTGAAGACGACTTGGGGGGCGACGAGGAACGTCTGTGGTACCAAAGCAAAGGCAACAAGTACCACGTCCAGTATCTGGGACCCCTTTTGGAACACCAATGGATAACTCCAGCTCGTTTAGTACGCTTTATTTCAAAACAACAGTTCGACGACCACCTGAAATCTTTGGAGAAAAAGTCCAGTGCTGGTCGAGTTTGTCCGAGGCACAAGGAGAAATGGGATCTGGCGGTTGAGGAGGCGAATCGATTTCTCAAAGCAGCAGACAAAGTAGCAATGCTGAACAAAAAATTGGTCGATGCTGAAGAGGAACGGGAACAAAACAAAGAAAATCAGAAAAATCTGTCGCTTAAAGTCTGCATATACGATTCACAGACGTACGTTTTGAACGAAAAAGCTTTCAAAAATGTGAACAAACGTTTCAGAGACAAAGATTCATCTTGCACTAACAAGTTAGCTCTAGTTTGCGAAAAGATTGAAATATCAAATGAAGATTTGGAATCGATTGAAGCGTTGAAGCTGAATGCTGACTGTATTTTTAGACTGAAAATTGAAGAATTAGGCGAACAGAGGAAAACCAAATCGCTATCTAGTAGTAGTGAAATTAGCGAGAAGGTAGAAAGCAGAAGAGCAAGGAATTGCAGTGAATCCTCGTCTATTTCATCCTCATTGAAGTCATTCGAAGGAACGACTGGGAACTTCAACTTAATGTTAGACGTCGAGATAGTTGAGGCCTTGAAAAGCAGTAAATGGAAATTAAAACAGTTAATAATGAAGCATCAAGGAAAACTGGCGGAACGCTTGGTTCTTAAAATGAAAATGAGCCCTAAATCGAAGGAAAAGGAATCAAAGTTAGTTTCTAGGAAAAGCGAAACCCTCTCTTTGTTGACCTTGAAAGAAGCAGTTGCGTTCTTGGGTGACGACGGCAAATCGCCCATCAAAAGAAGTTTGGACAAAATACAACGACAGATTGAAAAACAGCAATTGAAAGAAAAATCAATGAATGATCAAACGGAGAAAGGTCCGAGGACCTCAAGAGCTGTAGCAGTTCCTGAGCGCGAACTAAAACCGGTCGAAATTGTTGACCCTTTGAAACTTTTGTACTTAGACCCAAACACGAAAGATAAAATCTGTCTGAAATGCGAGGGAGAAGGGAAACAAATGATTTCATGTGCGGAGTGCTTAGATTGTTATCATCCGAGTTGCTTACCAAGTGAAGAAACTGAACAGATAGAACCAAAAGAGGGTTTCAAATGTGCTAAATGTAAAAGTGGATTAAAACTCTGTTTTTCCTGCCACGATTCAATACTTGGTCTTCAAGACTCAGAACTGTTTCAATGTACGGTGTCAAACTGCCGAAAAATGTATCATTTGGCTTGCCTGGATAAATATCCGGCATTGAATGAAAACTTCGGCTCACCTAATAAAAAGCGAGACAAGTGTCCGCAACATCTATGCGCCTCCTGTTTTCCTCACGACACAGCTGCCAATAAAGTTTGCTTCGTGGGAAAGACCATTAAGTGTCTGAAGTGTCCATTAGCGTATCACTCTGGGAAGAATGAGGAGCTGCTCAGATGTGTTCCGGCGGGTAGTTCCCTTCTTAGCAATCACTTCCTCATTTGTCCCGCTCATTTCGCCACAGCCACCGGCAATCAGAAACAGAAACAAAAATTTGCGAAGAAGTTGCACAAGATGCACTTGAACGTGCACTGGTGTTTTCTCTGTGGCACCGGGGGAGATTTAGTCGTATGTGAAATGTGTCCCGCTGCTTTCCACCCGCATTGCGTGAAACTCAAGACCAAGCCAGACCACAGTGAGCAGCCATTCTACTGCGAGAGTTGTATGGCCGGAATCCTACCCCGCTTCGGGGACATAGTGTGGGTGAAGTGTGGCAACTACAGGTGGTGGCCGGCCAAAATCGTCCATCCGGAAGAGTTGCCGGAAAATATCTACAAAAAGAATCACGAAGAGGGAGACTTTGCAGTCCAGTTTTTTGGTAGTCGGGACTTCATGTGGACATCTTTAGGACGTGTGTTTCTTTTTGAGGAAAACGATACGGCTTCCAAAGGGACGAATAATCACTTGAGTATGGTCTTTCAAAAAGGTCTCAAGGAGGCAACAGACGCGTTTCGAGATCTGACGGCGCAAAGAGAACGCGAACTGATAGAGCGCGTTAACGGCACCTCGGGGAAAATCCCGGCACCGTATAAATATGTCACTAGAAATATCCCTCAAGGTAATGTGAAAGTGTACAAAGCGGATCTGGATAACTACGCCACCTGCACGTGTAAGGAGGATGATTTGGATCCATGCGGACCGTCGAGCAACTGTGAAAATAGGTATACTATGATAGAATGCCACCCGAAGCTATGCAAAGCGGGGGATAGATGTCGGAACCAGAGGTTTGCTAGAGCAGAGTACGCAGAGACTTACTACTTCAAGTGTGGCGACAGAGGCTGGGGACTGAAAAACAAAACGACCATTCAAACTGGTCAGTTTGTAAACGAGTACTGCGGAGATCTGATCACTTACGAGGAGTATGAGCGAAGACTGAAGTATCAGAACGACAGATCCGAGTTGGATTTCTATTTCTGTGTGTTGGACTCCAAACGAGTGATAGATGCCAAGCCGAAAGGCTGCCACTCTAGGTTCATGAATCACAGCTGTGACCCCAACTGCTACGGTCAGCTGTGGACTGTGAACGGAGACATAAGAGTGGGCCTGTTCGCTATTCGTGAGATCCCACCGGACTCTGAGCTGACGTTCAACTACAATCTCAGCAGCCTAGGTCAGTGCAAACTCAATTCTACCTCAGTTTTTTCACCCGACACTTATTGATCCTCGAAGGGATTGAGGAGCATAAATTTTGTTCACTTTCAGTTGTCAACTGAGTTCTGATTCTGAAATTTGTAGCAATGGAAAATAAAATAAATTGCACCATCTAATGGCAAAGTTGGAAATGGAGCGACAAACATCACTGGAATTTTTTTTTCAAATTGGATTTCGCTTTCAAATTTGATTTTTGGCATTTTTTGTTTTTTTTTTGCGTTCATTGATTTTTCATTTGTCTGTTGGCTATGTTAATTAACTGTAAATATTTTGATGCAAAGTTTTTGTGGCTTGTGATTCAGCAGGAAGACATTTTTTTCCTATTAAGAGTCGATGAACATTGTGAAGATTCTTATGTAGATCGGGATAATTTTTTCTGGAAATAAGTCCTAAAGGTGGTTCACGCTTAAATTTGATTTTTTTTGCGGTTTGGTTTGTGATTTTTTTTCAAGTTTAGCCCATTTCATTTGTTAAAAGGAAGACAAACTCAACTATTGAATGGCAAAAGTGTAAAGGCCGCAAAAAACATAATCAACTTCGACTTTCTATAGCGAATTTTTTTTTTCAGATTTACAAGCGGAATAAAAATTTTATATATTGATCTAGTTTTTTTTTCAAATTGGGTTGATTTTCAGTTTTTTCAGCGGAATAAAAAACTGGATGTTGATCCAGTTTTCTCGAATTGAGATATTTTTATCAGAAAAAATGTCAATCATGAATTGTTCTTGAATCATGAAATTTTTTTTGTTTCGTTGCGATCATTGACTCTTTTCAAAGTGTCTGTTGGCTATGTTTTCTTCATTCAATTTAAGTCATAGCTAATTAATTATCCAAGAAACGTAAACTTCACTTCACCCCACCAGGTACAAAAACGGCTTAAATTAGAAAAAATCGGAAAACCGTGGCGTTCAAATTGTGGTCAATTAAAAGCTGCGGTCTTCTTCTCTAGGTGCACATCAACCGGTAATTATTGTTTTTTTAAGGAATTGTGGACGGTACGAAGAAGCCATGTCTATGCGGTGCCGAAACATGTTCAGGATTCATTGGCGAGAAGCCAAAAGCAAAGACGATACTCAGCAATGGATCCGAAACGTCCAGTAAAACATCAGATCGGAAGAGAAAACGAAAACGGACTATCAGACCGGGGGATAGAACTTGCTTCAGGTGTGGAGGCTCACAGGAAGAAGGAGCTCTTGCTTTTTGTTCGCGCGCTGACTGCGCAAAATGCTACCACATAAAGTGTTTGGGGCTAGCAAAGAACCCGGGAAAGTGGGATTGTCCAAAACACTTCTGCGACGTATGCGGAAAGGGCTCGGCCTCTTTCTGTCAAAGCTGTGACAATTCATTCTGCAAACTGCACACGGATCAAAATATTGTGCAAGTTGACGGAGTCGATTTCAAGTGCAACAGTTGTTTTAAATCCAAATCGCCTGTGAAGTCACGTGATGACGAGATTGCGCCATGGCCTGCAAGTGGCATGAACAAAGAGAACACAGTGAATTCAGGAAGCGAAGTTGCAAGCAGTCCTTTCAAAAAAGTGAAACTAGCGACTAGAAACTTTCAAATTAAAGATGAGCCCGAGTCATCGCCAGTCAATGGGCGAAGAAGTTCACCGCGCAAAAAAGCGTCCACTGAAAATGATTTTTCCACTCTGAGTGAGCTGAAACTACCAACTGAAAATCAGACAGTACAAAGACCTTTGTCTATAAAGCAGGAGAACAACGAGAGTACATCTTAATAATTAACTGAATTTTAAAGCCTTAACTAAAACTGAAAACAATTCTATATTCTATTTTGTGACTGCCATGTTTTGTTTTATGATGTTGCAACTTTTAATCTGAAGTCGCTGGTTTCTTGTGAATTACCTGATTTTTGAAAATTGTTGATCTTAATAATTATTGATGATTTTATTAAATGTGTCGAGTTTGTGCTTTCATATTCGCAAAAAGTGTAATGAGTAGTGTTTGTTGAATTCAATATTCTAAATGAAATTTCATTACACGCTGTATTGAGCTGAAGTGTTTGCGGGATGGGATGGCTAGAATTTAGAACGACAGCCATTTCTGTGAAATCAACCCTAAAATTTTTGTAAATGTGTGTTCGGTGCCAACATGCGCTTATTTTAAGAGAGTCCAGCCCGAAAACATAATTTATAGCGGGGGCAAAAAATGTCAATATTGTCATTCCGAGAATTAAAGAGAACTCGAAAAACGTAATCACGAACCTAAAATTGGTCGACATAATTTGTCAACAAAACCGACCACAATAAAAAAAACTACTGGGTACGCCACTGGGAGTAGGAGGAGTTAATCCAGAAAGCAAGTGTCTCATAATCGGGAACGAAAGTTTTTCCCGTAAAAACTTTTCTGGCAAATTTTATAGTTCTTTCCCACTCGGCCTAGAGGTCAAGCCGTTGCCTTTGCACCTGAAGCTCAGGGGTTTGACTCCCGGTCAGACCTTGGTTCATTTCAGTATGTATGCAATTGATTTTTTTTCGGTCAAAATTGACTTGTCGAATTTTCGTTTGTCTGCTCAAGTTTTGTCGGCTTAGTTGCCTTATCACGGTTTTTGCTCGTTAAGCAATTTTCATTTGTGTAGTTCAATGTAGATAAATTTTTCTAAATTAAATTCATTATTTTTCAGCTCCACTTCTGTCTGCTCAAAGACTGTCAGCTTTGTTTCCTCTTCGTAAGTTTTAATCTGTTGCTAGATTAATGTTCAAATGCCTGGCCTCTTTGCCTAAAATGATTTTCTAGAGAGACTTACGAAATTTTTAATTTTGATAGACCTAGTTTTTTTTCAATATTTTCCATTTTTCGACTGATGTTTTTTATGTTTGCGTTGTCGCAACTGATGCGCAGCTCCGCATCGCCTCTATGTTAAGCTTTTCTTGTTATATCAATTTTCATCGTCATTAGAATTCCTGAATTATAATTAAACAAAATTCTCCTGTAGGGAGAAACTGGTCTGAACTTTTGATAGTCAGACTAAATTTAAGTTTACCATTTGGTTAGTGGATACGAAAGGAATGCCTCAGGTTCTAGTTCTACTTTTTGCAAAAAGCGTTTATGTTATCTTACCCGTCTACTTTTGCAATGTAACTCAAACATTTCATTTATTAAGAGTCGGTGAATGTAGTTTAGACTCTCATGTAGGTCCCAAGGATTTTTTTCGTTTACTTTTCCTTCGGTTACTTTTCTTAAAGCTTGTGTGATATTACGAACTCACTTTTTTCCAACCCAATTCGCAAATATTAGTGCTCTTTTTGAAAGTGCTCTTTTATTGCAGTATGTGCATGATATCAATAACCAGCGATTAAGTACAGCAAAGGCTAAAGATATTAACACACACTATTGTATTACAAATAGCACTTTAGCTTCTAGGTGTTATGGTTCTGCAGCGTAGAGGTAGGGAAGGAGACCAGCAGCAAATAAAGAGGTTCAAACATCAGCAGGGTCGCATATTTTAAATGATCTATTTTGTATACTAGTTAAAATGCGTCCGCTCTATAAATTGAGGCATATTAGTTGGTAAATTTCTTTTCAAATTGACTGGTACTGCTAATGCGTCATAATTGACGTGCATCACTTAGCAATTATGTAGACTCATAATTGGCGTGCGTCACGTAAGAAATTATGTAGACTCAAAGTTTAACTCGTTCAGTTTTTTCCCAGTAGCGTTGTCGGTCATATTTTTGCTTGTGTGTGCGAAGTGCAACTTCGCCTCTGTGTAAAATTTGTTCAAGCTCGAATTTGCTTTTTCGCGGTTTGACTTTCGATTTTGTTTTAAGTTCAGTTCCTTTGCTTTGTTGAAAGGAAGGCAAACTCCACTATCGAACAGCAAGAGAGTAAAGGTCACGAAAAGCGTGATCGGCTTCTAATTTCGAAATTGGAATTTACTTTTCACATTTCCCAGCGAAATAAAAGTGTTACTCATTGATCCAATTCTTCTAAAATTATTTTGAAAAATTGTCAATCATGAATTATTGCAGAATTTTCTGTTGCTTTTTTCCAACTATCTATTGGCTATGTTTAACGAAAGTGGGGCTGCTTAGAGCAAATTAGCTGGTGTTCACTAGATGCTGGTTCAAATCCAGTAGTTAAGAGGTCTTGTTTTTAATGAATTTAGTGCTTTATCACTTGATAAGGCAGTGTAATGGTTTTTGTTTGGTTTTTTTTTCAGAATAGGTTTAAGTAGTTGTTCTCGCTATAAGTTATTTTAGTCATTTTAACAATCTTACCTTTGTGTAGCCTGCTTCCAGTTTTTACTGAATACTACTTGAGTGGCATATTGTTTTTATCTTATCCTTTTTGATTGATAAATACCGTATGTATCAAAAGTATAAATACATCAAATTCCAGTTTTATCTAGCCTATATTTCTTGAAATGCCCAACGCTTTTTGTTTTTAACGCTATTTTTGTATTTAACGTTTCTTTTATTTAACGTATTGATACAAACTGTGTTTATCAATTAAACAGGATAGGATAAAAAACAATATGCCGCACAACAATTTTGGGGTAAAAGTTGGAAGCAAGCTACACAAAACTAAGACTGTTGAAATGACAAAAAAAAAATGGAAAAAGAATTCAGTTTTAAAAAATCATGATTTTCTCTACCTTTCTAAAAGAGAATCTGAGCATTTATTATGAAGCTTCTAAAATTTCTTGCCAGTAATTTTAAATCAAAAGATACGATCAGAAGTTGTAAAATACTATGATAGAATAAGTCGACCGAATTAAATACGACTTCCAAAAAGCTGCCAAATAACTAAAAAATGTCACTTTGCAAGATTTCGCATTTTCTGCTAAAATGGCAAGAACGCACCTGCCCAATGTAAATAGTTTTTTTTAACTCGCAGATTGATTTGAACTTAGCATAAATAAATTATAGCCTGAACAAATTATAAGAGTTTTCTGAAAAAAAACGGACCATGACCATCACACAAGTGATAAAGCACATCGTGCATTAAAAACAAAAGATCTGTAAAATACGTGTTTTGAGCCAGTATAATTCATGTGGTTTTCAGACTCATATAAAGGTCGCAATGATTTTTAGTTGTGCTTTTTTCAGAAAAAATCTTAGTTTTTTGAAGCTCTAATTTACTTTTTCGCGGCTGGAATTTTTATGTTTGCGTTGTCGCAACTGATGCGCAGCTCCGCATCGCCTCTATGTTAAGCTTTTCTTGTTATATCAATTTTCATCGTCATTAGAATTCCTGAATTATAATTAAACAAAATTCTCCTGTAGGGAGAAACTGGTCTGAACTTTTGATAGTCAGACTAAATTTAAGTTTACCATTTGGTTAGTGGATACGTAAGGAATGCCTCAGGTTCTAGTTCTACTTTTTGCAAAAAGCGTTTATGTTATCTTACCCGTCTACTTTTGCAATGTAACTCAAACATTTCATTTATTAAGAGTCGGTGAATGTAGTTTAAACTCTCATGTAGGTCCTAAGGATTTTTTTCGTTTACTTTTCTTTCAGGTTACTTTTCTTAAAGCTTGTGTGATATTACGAACTCACTTTTTTCCAACCCAATTCGCAAATATTAGTGCTCTTTTTGAAAGTGCTCTTTTATTGCAGTATGTGCATGATATCAATAACCAGCGATTAAGTACAGCAAAGGCTAAAGATATTAACACACACTATTGTATTACAAATAGCACTTTAGCTTCTAGTTGTTATGGTTCTGCAGCGTAGAGGTAGGGAAGGAGACCAGCAGCAAATAAAGAGGTTCAAACATCAGCAGGGTCGCATATTTTAAATGATCTATTTTGTATACTAGTTAAAATGCGTCCGCTCTATAAATTGAGGCATATTAGTTGGTAAATTTCTTTTCAAATTGACTGGTACTGCAAATGCGTCGTAATTGACGTGCGTCACTTAGCAATTATGTAGACTCATAATTGGCGTGCGTCACGTAAGAAATTTTGTAGACTCAAAGTTTAACTCGTTCAGTTTTTTCCCAGTAGCGTTGTCGGTCATATTTTTGCTTGTGTGTGCGAAGTGCAACTTCGCCTCTGTGTAAAATTTGTTCAAGCTCGAATTTGCTTTTTCGCGGTTTGACTTTCGATTTTGTTTTAAGTTCAGTTCCTTTGCTTTGTTGAAAGGAAGGCAAACTCCACTATCGAACAGCAAGAGAGTAAAGGTCACGAAAAGCGTGATCGGCTTCTAATTTCGAAATTGGAATTTACTTTTCACATTTCCCAGCGAAATAAAAGTGTTACTCATTGATCCAATTCTTCTAAAATTATTTTGAAAAATTGTCAATCATGAATTATTACAGAATTTTCTGTTGCTTTTTTCCAACTATCTATTGGCTATGTTTAACGAAAGTGGGGCTGCTTAGAGCAAATTAGCTGGTGTTCACTAGATGCTGGTTCAAATCCAGTAGTTAAGAGGTCTTGTTTTTAATGAATTTAGTGCTTTATCACTTGATAAGGCAGTGTAATGGTTTTTGTTTGGTTTTTTTTTCAGAATAGGTTTAAGTAGTTGTTCTCGCTATAAGTTATTTTAGTCATTTTAACAATCTTACCTTTGTGTAGCCTGCTTCCAGTTTTTACTGAATACTACTTGAGTGGCATATTGTTTTTATCTTATCCTTTTTGATTGATAAATACCGTATGTATCAAAAGTATAAATACATCAAATTCCAGTTTTATCTAGCCTATATTTCTTGAAATGCCCAACGCTTTTTGTTTTTAACGCTATTTTTGTATTTAACGTTTTTTTTATTTAACGTATTGATACAAACTATATTTATCAATTAAACAGGATAGGATAAAAAACAATATGCCGCACAACAATTTTGGGGTAAAAATTGGAAGCAAGCTACACAAAACTAAGACTGTTGAAATGACAAAAAAAACGGAAAAAGAATTCAGTTTTAAAAAATCATGATTTTCTCTACCTTTCTAAAAGAGAATCTGAGCATTTATTATGAAGCTTCTAAAATTTCTTGCCAGTAAATTTAAATCAAAAGATACGATCAGAAGTTGTAAAATAGTATGATAGAATAAGTCGACCGAATTAAATACGACTTCCAAAAAGCTGCCAAATAACTAAAAAAGGTCACTTTGCAAGATTTCGCATGTACTGCTAAAATTGCAAGAACGCACCTGCCCAATGTAAATAGTTTTTTTATCTCGCAGATTGATTTGAACTTAGCATAAATAAAATTATAGCCTGAACAAATTATAAGACTTTTCTGAAAAAAAAACGGACCATGACCATCACACAAGTGATAAAGCACATCGTGCATTAAAAACAAAAGATCTGTAAAATACGTGTTTTGAGCCAGTATAATTCATGTGGTTTTCAGACTCATATAAAGGTCGCAATGATTTTTTGTTGTGCTTTTTTCACAAAAAATCTTAGTTTTTTGAAGCTCTAATTTACTTTTTCGCGGCTGGAATTTTGATTTCTTTTTAAGTTCAATTCCTTTCCTTTGTTAAAATTCAGGCAAACTCCACTATCGAATAGCAAGAAAGTTATGTCACAAAATTGATCGACTTCTAATTTCGGAAATGGAATTAAATTATCAGATTTTCTGGCGAAAAAAAAATTATCTATTGATCCAGTTTTATCATATTGGTTATTTTAATCAGAAACTAGCAGTCGTTAATTGTTGTAGAAATTCAGAAAAATTTTAAGGCTCTCTATTTTTCTTTGAAATTTCAAAACCGATCATCATTTTTTGTAAACAATTCCGTATCTGTTTAGTTTTTGTCGGCGCATCTTCCTCAGAACGCACTTTTACTTTTCTTGATAAATAAGATATTTTAAACACTCGGAAAAACCATGCATAGCTTTTGTAATCGTGCTGATAATTGAGTTCCTTTTTTTGTTTCAGTTTTTCTCGCTTTAAAAGTTGCTTCGGCTGAAATTATTGTGCTTGTTATTTCGATTTAGCTGTACTATATAACTTTTTGAAAAAGTTCTATCATAAGAACCAGTGTTTGAAATCTTCCGCGCTTTTACTGCTTCATCCTAATTTTAGAAGAAAATTTTAGGCCATAGAAGTTTTCCAAATCGGAACTTTTGATAGTTTTTTGAAAGTTTTGATTTTTCTCTCAAACTAGCTTGCCAAATCGGATATAAAAGTTTGATACAAAATTTGCTGCGATTTTGTCTGCATAAAAGGCTAAGCCCTAATATTGGTAGAAAAACAATGTTTTGAATTTAAAAAAATTACTGTAGCATTGAACGTTTTTGGCATTTTTCTCGAAGCTCAACAATTACTTCCTCATTTTTTGTCTGCGTAATAGCCATCGGTAAAATTTTTTATTCTAATGCTTATTTAAGGCTGGAAAACAAATTTTGCGACAGGTTTTCATCCACCTTTGCGACAGGTGGATTTTTGTCCACTTTTGCGACAGGAGAATTTTCCGCAAAATGAATTTTTATCCACCATTTCTACTGGTGGATTTTTGTTTGAAACATGCGCATAAAAACTCTGGCTTGCTAGAATTATTTTATGGCATTGCAGCTTTATCACTCGGTAGCCTTTGTCTCATTTCCGTTCATCTAGCTGCCATGTTATGTTTTTGATGCATCGCAGTTGTTTCAAAGCTCGGCGCTGCCTTTGAGTAAAATTATGACTTGGTCTGAACTGAGCATTTTTTGCTACTTGGTCAGCAACCGGTTGTCCTTGCTAAAATATGTTTAGAAGTTAGCCTAGATTACGGTTATTTAGTTTGATGTTTCATGGTTTTATACAAGCAGTAGTTGTGACATGCATTGTTTACATGCAATTTTGTAATATTTGTCGTGCCTTTGGTTACTACCGAGAAACTTACATGATGAATATGATCCCTTCTTACTTACATTTTTTTAGCCGATCGTAGTGTGATATTTTAAGACCACTTTTTTCCAGCCTATATCGCACTTATTGGTGTAATTTTGAGGGTTCCTTTTTCTCAAAAGTGGTGAAACGACCGATGCAAAGACTGGTTACTCCCCTGGCTTCAATGCAAAGACTTCAATCATGAAAACCAGTGTTTGAAATCTTCCGCGCATTTACTGCTTCATCCTAATTTTAGAAGAGAATTTTAGGCCATAGAAATTTTCCAATTCGGAACTTTTGATAGTTTTTTGAAAGTTTTGACTTTTCTCTCAAACTACCCTGCCAAATCTGATTTAAAGAGTTTGATGAAAAATTTGCTGCAATTTTGTCTGTATAAAAGGCTAAGCGCTAATATTGGTAGAAAAGCAAAAGTCAATTTTTTCTTAAACTTTGTTCACTTCTGCAAACTTTTTGGTTTTCTGGAGAATGGTGCCCAATCTGAGATGACGGGTTCAAACGAAGAACAAGTTGCAGGTTTATCTCCTGCATAAAAGGATTTTTCTAATTGTTGGAAGCAATCAGCTATTGATTTCTAGGCATTTTTATTTGACATTTGACATTTTCATCTATTTTTTGGAATTCGTTAAAAAAATTATAGCCAAATGTTCAATTAGACTAGGTAACCTAATAGAAAATTGCGGGTTCAATTGAAGAATGATGCAATTGAAATCTCTTTTCATAGCATCTAATCTCTTTTTTTGCAGAAAATTTAGGTTGGACTGAGCAAAAGTCCATGTTTTGAAATTTGGAGTTACTTTGGTTTTTTCGAAAACCACGATGTCAGAAAGGTTCAATCAAAAAAACAAAACTTTCCTTCTTGTCATTCTTGCGGTTTTCCTGACGTAAGTGAATTATCCCAATTTTGCTTAGCAATCCGGAATTGTTTAAAGAATTATTTGACGCATCGACCCATTTTTTGGACTGCGATTCAAATAGCAAAAAGGACCGCTCCTATTCTGAAGTTAGGAAAACAATCGAATTGAGATGTTCTAATGATGTCCCGTGCTCAAGCGCTTTCTCGGTGCTTTCGGCAGGGAATCACCTATGAACGTTGTAAATGTCCAATTTGTGAAAAAAAATGTCTAATTCGACACATTTTGAAAAATTACGCATTACCTTTTGCATCTACATTTTCGTGAAATTTATCAAACAGATACCTGCAGTTTTAGCTGAGTCCTTTGTTTTTTGTTGTTTCAAGCGACCATGAAGCAGATGCGAGAAAACTGATGTTCTAATCTACAGGTCGGAGGTTCAATTCCGGCACATTAAATTGGCTATAATTTTATGTGGTGGTACTGACTAGCCTTGGCAAAGTAATAGCAACTGTAGCTGCTTCATTGATAGCTGGTGTAGATAAATTTTTAATCGATCTTGGCGCAGATGCAAGAAGGTGAAATTCTTAACCTTCTGGTCAGAGGATCGGTTACGGCTCATAACAAAAAAGTTTTTTTTAGGCTTTTTTCCATTCTTTGTTTTTGGCTTTTCAGCTGATTTTTTCCGTTTTTTTTTGTGCTAGCGACATGCAGTTTTGCATCTGTGTCCATGGTTCAACATATAATTAAAAATAGATTGTATTAAATTCTCCTGCATTTACAATAATCAATCAATCAATAGTTTAAGCAAATAGAACAATAATCGATCAACCTATTGTTTTTGCAAATAGATTTTTCAGTTTAATTTTATTTTGCTTTAATAAATAGATCAATTTTTTTTATTTGCGGGGTTTCTTGACCTGCTGTTGATAAAACTCAATCTCGGAGTCCAGACTCTGGATGTCTTTGAGGAGTCTCTGGTTGATCTGGGCTAGCTCGTCTAAACAACGAAACACCAATTGGTACAGTAAGCTAACAACTAGAATTCTCTGTTTTTTCTTCTTGTGCTCATTTTAAACCTTCTGTTGGCTATGCTTCATTGTTGAACGGTAATTCTCACAAGCTTCCAGCTGATTTGTCGCCAACGTGTTACTAACCCTCTTTGATACATTTAAATTTTAACGGCTAATTCTCTCAAAATTTCCTGATTATCGTAATTGTTCGGACTTTCAAAGAAAGTGACACAATATTGGGTCTGTTTTTTTTTTTTAGACAAATTTCCGATAATTAGAAAGCCAATTTTACAATTTTTTTGAACAAAAATATCAATGCCCTGAGCCATTTAAAAAGATATTGCATCTTCGATGATTTTTTTTATTTCGGTAAGACTATGTGGATTCATTTTGTCCCTTTGTGATTTTAAAAAAATCGTTAGATTTTGTTCTATCTTTAACGCTTGAACAGTTTTATTAATACGTAACAAGCTCACAGTATGTGGGTGAACTATTTTCAAACAACTTTTGTCAAAGTGAGTTGTGAAAAATGATTCTTTTAGCGAATTCGTTGCGAAAAAGGATCTGTCATATTGTTGCTTTAATAGTGTATGCGAAGTGCAGCTTAACCTCTGCCGGAAGGTTTTTTTAAAACTCCATTGTTGAGCTTTGAAAGCCCGACTGCTTTTGCAGGTGACTATAATGTTTGGTTAAACTATCAGAGACCAATAAAAGGGCAGCGGAACATTCAGGGTTTTGCCCTGATACGAGCAGCCTTGTTACTTATTAGGACACCGCATGAAGTTTCTGTGATGTAATTGAAATGCGGGTTTTTATAAAACTTTTACCCTGGGCGATAACTCATTCCCCCTTTTTGGTAATGGTCGATACTAAAAATTATAAAATGAAATTACACACTTGTTTCTGAGTTCTGTTGGGATCCTCTCGCATTCTGACTTTGGGATAAGGTCTTTCTGGGGGAGCCGTTACTCTGCTGCGCAAAGTTACCTAAAAACAACTATTATATTATCGAAATCATGCAGTATTAAATAGATCAGGGCCCTCAATTGAAGATAATCGTTAAGTTAGCAAGACTAAGCACCCTTAGTTACCAAAATAATTCACTGATATTTGGTTAAACATCGGTTTTTCAAATAGCATATTTAGTTGCTTTTTTTTTCAATCATCTTTTCGTGTGACTTTTTAGTAACTAATTATACCTGAGACTGCCAAGTTTTTTTTCAAAAGTTACAGTGACTAGACAAAAACGAGCAAAAATTAAGCTAAGTTTGTTGTCTTTAATTGACCTAAATCGAATACACGATAGTTCGAGAAGCAATAGTCACTATATTAGTTTCAAGTACGGTTTGAAGAATTCACTATTTGTTAAAACAATAACATTTTTTATTTGAAATAATTCCTGAACCTACTAATGGTTTTTTCTCACTAAAATGAGAACTTTCTTAATGATTGCAAGGGTGGATCAACGGTTTTTTAAGGGCAGTGGACTTTTAAACAGTTTTCAATTGCCAATGGTCACAATGGAAGTCCAGTAAAAAAAACGCTCGCGTCATCATTACGAGGCCAAACTGTGCATTCTGTGCATTGTAAGCGGATTCCGCAACAGATCAAAATCAGATTTGTCACGGAATCCGCAACCTTGCTACTTTTCTTTGATCTTCTTAGCTCTTTTGGATTCCGCAAACAAATACCTAAAACACTGTACCTTTTAAATTTGCTCCAAAAACTTGCTCCGTATTTGCGTTATCCAGAACAGTTTGTGGAATCCACAAATAAATAAAAAGACCGGTGTATAGTTGAATTGAGCTATTGCGGAATCCGCAACTGTAAGCCGAGTCCGCAAATTGTAAGTGGAATCCCCCCCTAAAACAACCCCCCCCCCCCACTAAATTTGACCGTGCAATGGTGCATATTTCTTTTATACTGAGAATGTTCTTTTGCTTTATCATACCATTGCTCTGTTTGGTTCTGCTGTTCTGCACTGAAGGTGCGGCAGTGGCACCGTTGCTTCCTGCTCCCATTCTGTTGTTCATCTTATGTCTTCTAGAATGTTCTGACTGCTGCTGCTCGTCTTCTGAGAACACTCCTGAGTCCCAGTTGCGCTCTCCCTTCTGCTGATTTGCCCCACCTCGCGCTTTTGAAGCCCTTAAGTGAAAGTCGCCATTTGAGAGTCAATTTGTATCCTAAGCTTCTATCTTTTTTTTGGGTTTCTCGTCATTTATTCATTAAATCTAATCTGTGACTACAACGCGAGAGAAACTAGCTACGACAAGTTTTTTTTAAATGATTTTATCACGTTGATGACTTGATGGAGAAGTCTTCCAAGTTTTTTAGACAGTGTTTATTTGACGCTGACGGGCTACAATTTGCAACACGCGACAATTCGCCACAAGGAATTGGCGGCAAGTAGCGACCCCTTGCTCCGCTGCTCTTACATCCGACTCAATTGGTATTCTTTGCTTGAATCAATATTCGCTTCTTGCCGCTTTAGAAATGGTTGCCTCACGGATTTATAGATAGGATACCTGAATGAGCCTGGGTGATTAGTCACTGATTGGGGACTTTTCCCGCCTGTGGCATAGGACGACTGCTGGGATGATGTGGATGTGGTCGCCTGTTGTCGTTGAGAGGAGGGGAGTTTTCTCTCGGGTGATTTGCTGCTCAATTTGGCCACAGTAGAGCGGGGACTGGTGAGACCATTGGGCACTCCTTTGTTCGATACCACGGGAGGCAGACCCCCCTAAAATATGTCAGCAGAGATAGAACAAGTTTGTCACATGGTTTCATGGTTTTGAAGACAAAAAGTATCCGAATACTTTAAATGCAAGTGATCCGCTAAGGTTTTTGATGAAATTCTTAAAATTGTATTTTTTTAAGTTTCGGGCTATGAGTTAACCAATTTTTAAATATAGAATTATAAATTTTCAACGCTTACTGTATCCTTAAACTCGTCTCAGAAAAACACCGGTTAAATTCCAACAAAACACAGAATCTTGAACAAATTTGTTTTCATAAAGAATTCAAAAAGCCAAAAATCGGGAAGAAACGTTGCAACAAATGCAGAAAAATCAGAGAAAAAAGTTACATTTTTTCTTGTTGTCTGTTGGTTCTGGTTGAGGAGACCCGCCATGGCTGGTTTGTGAAGCGAGGCATGATTACTGTTACTATTGGAATTACTTCCCCTGTTGGTACTGCTGCTGCTGCCATTGCTGTTCATGTTGTTCTGCAGGGCCACGAAGACAGCCTCGAACTGTTCTAACTTCTTAACAAGACGCATGTTTTCTTGTGCCAAGTCCTAAAACGTAGTAGCCTTGCAAACAATTACACGCGATATTAGTTTTAAACTGATTGGCTGGAACGCAGCATGTGTTCTTAAAAAGCAGACAGCCTATAACTTTAACGTTAAGTTGTCAAAAGAAAACGAAAGTCTTTGAAAAAAAAGTACCAAGTTAGCCGCCCTAAAAAAAGACAGAACGAAAAAAAAGTTAAGACGCTTTCTCCACGAGGGAAAAGACCAACATATGAACTTTCAGCTCATCACTGGGGAGAACTGCTGTTGTGCCCCTGCTTAAAAACTACATGTACTCTTTTGGTTATTCTCGACCATGATGGTTGAACCGTATTGGTTGAAACAATCAAACCTGCAGTGCATCCTAATGAGATTCATTTTGGCGATGTAGCTGGCAAAAATCAAAATCCTACTTTTTTTTGGCTAAATCCCCCTTTATTTCCTAAATATCGATGATCAAGTCTTGCTCAGGGTGGGGCTAGCGGAAACAGAAGTAGTAGTAGTAGTAGTTCTGAATGATGTAGGGTGAGCACGAAATAAAATTGTGCTACCTGCAGTTGGTGTGTGGCCTTGTCCCGACTGTGGGTGAGTTCTGTGGCGTCTCTGCGCAACTGCTCGTTCTCTATCATGTATGCCTGCACCATCTCATACAGACTCGCACTCTCGTCCCCCTCCTGCTCACTCAACTTCAGACGCGCACTCTTCAGCGCCAACTCTATTCAATAGTTTTCATAAATGAGTGGATAGGCTTAAAACTATATCACCCTCGTTTATTCTCACTCGCAGAAAATTAAGGCGAAAAACCAAAGGAAAAAAAGGTTAAAATAAGAACCAGAAAAAGCCTTGGGTAAATCGGTTTGAATTTTCTATCGAAGCAAAATAGAAAAAATTAGAAAAATTTTAGGGTCAGTCAGCCTGAAATGGAAAATAGTACAAAAAGGGATCCTTTAGGTCGGCAGAGGCCGAATAACTGAGGGGGGGGGGGGGGGGGGCGGCGGAGGGAAGAAGGAACGTGTTTGAACCGAAGTCGTTTCTTTGAACCGTTAAACGTGTTCGCGCAGCCGAAAATTTGCGGAAGTGCTTCCCACTTTTGGTGAAACTCATTGCAAAAAATCCTTTGGTGAAATCAGTAAAGTTTGCAATATTTTTAGCAGGTTATCCCTCTCCCTTTTCCTTTAATTTATAAATCTCTCGACTCGACGACGTCATTCTGCTAAAATTACTGAAAATTATTGACGACGTCATTCTATTAATTCCACCATATAATTAGCTTTTTATTTCCTTGATTTGATTGAAAATTCAAAGGCGGTCAATATTTCTGAAGCAAACTAAGTTTTCTGTTCAAATATACAATTGAGGACACTTTTTCATCCCCCCCCCACTCCATCTCAAATCTGGTTCTGCTGAAGACTGTAACTCGACATGGTTCTGCTGTAGGCCACTCAATACCTCTATTTTGGAACAGTTTTTATTGTTTGTTTTATTTTTACCTATTTCAAGAGTAACAACACATTAGATGATAGGTTAAAAAGGAAAATTGCCCTCCAAGTTATGTGTTGTGAGCTCACGTGTGATGGTCTGTTCTTTGGGCAGGTCAATCTGGGATCTGAGGTACTCGTTTTCTCCTCTCAGGGCCCCCACCTCCCTTCTCAGAGACACGATCTCTTTCTCACGCGGATCCTAAACAGACTCACGCTGCACACATTGCAACTCCTAATCCCAGTGCATATAAATTCTTGTAGGATTCCCAAAAAACTGTTCATTTCCGACCTCTAATTTCGACTTGTCTCAAAACAGGTTTGCTCCAAATAATTTTCATTAAAAATCGGGTATTTTTGCCTGGAAATATTTAAAGCATCTGAAAGCCAGATTTCAGTCGAAGACAACTGCATCGAAACTGAGTTAACACGGTCATACAAATTAAGAATTTTAAAAATGAATCCAAAAAATTTTTGATCACTAATCTATTTCAACCAGTTTAGTCAAAAAGTTGTGAAAAAGGTTGTGAAAAACATCATCTCCAAAAAACTTTCTCCCTATATCAGTAAAACATCATGATTATATATTCGATTTTCAAAATAAATTGGCAAAAAAACGTAGCGTGTCGTGAAAAAAAATCACAAGACCGATTATAACAGTGCCGGCCCTATTGTTTAATCAGTCTATCATGTGTTACTAACTAGTTAAGAGTAATGATTAATAGCTAGTTTCTCTTGTTAAAATACTGAACATATACTTGTGCAACACCGTAAAAAATCTAGTCCAAAAACAGGTTACCACATTACAACATATGACAGACAAGCATATTGATTTGAACAACTATGTGTTCACATTTCTTTTTCATCTCCCGCAGGCATCGACAACTTTGGAACAAAATTTGTTTTCATACTAAAAGCAAAAAGAAGCTCTTTTGAAAAATTTTTGATAATTTAAAGACGTTTAATTGAAGCAGTCTTGCAAAATCTTCCCTTTCTCTAGAAGATTTCAGATTCACAGATGATTTTGAAAACCTGTTGCCATGATTTGTGTTGGATAAAGAAAAAAGTTATTAAGACGCGGCGCGCTAACACGGCTTTGGGGGATGTTAACTTGTTCCAGATGATCTCTTCAGCGCAAAGTAGATGCAAGCGGGTCGGCAATTTGCTGCAAGGCAATTTAAATGATTTGAATAACTTAGTCCAAACAGTTTGTAATGCTGAGCAATCAAATCACTATACTTTTCTGCTTAAGTGAATCGATATAGAACGTTTCACGTAACTGCTAAGGCGATACGTAACAAGAATGCTCGTAACAGGGTGAAGCCCTAAATTTTCAGACTGCTTCTGAATGCCGATGTAGTAATTTTCGCTTTGAAAAAAATGACAAGGTTAAAAAAATCAAAATGCTTTCAAATTGACAGAGTGATAAGTACAGAGTGAAAAGTGCCCGTATCAGGCCAAAACCTTGATGTTCCAGCTGCCTTTAAGAGTTTGTGGAGGGTTTGTTTAAGAAATTGATCACTTTTTCAAAAAAAAAACTGATAAAATGAGATTTCTTTTTGAAAAAAACACCACCCACACACCATGTAAAGTTTAAAGTGATAGATTTTACTACTAGTAACGCCAGACTTATGACAAATAGCCTGCTTCAACCAATATGGAATGATATCTGAGACGGATTAAATCTCCGCTTGCGTTTTAATAGCGAGAAAGATATCGCGTGTTAATCATCTCAAATTGGCCATATTGGCAATCTGACAATCCCTTTACTTTGCAAAAAAAAATATTTCCAACAATATTGTTTTGCAAAGTTTAAAAAATGTCAACAATGGCTAATCAAAAAGTCGAAATTTCTCTGGAGAAAAAACCACCACTAGCACAAAATTTTCGTCACTTGCTTCGAAAGTCGGAACCATTGCTCTCGGAATTCAATTGTCCGGTACTCCATAACGTTAGCATCTATTGGCTTGCGTATCTAGCCTACACTGCCAATAGAGCTCCGAATGGTTCATGAGAAAACAACTCAATTGGCAACAAAATTTACTAATAAGTGGACTGCAATCAAATACAATGCTAGACGAAAGAAGAAAGAAAGAAAGAAAGAAAGAAAGAAAGAAAGAAAGAAAGAAAGTTATTTCTCCAAATCATTTCAAAGTAAGAAACTTCAACAAAAATTACAGCAAGAATTTACTAGCATCTTATTTTATGAAAAAAGACTCGAAGAGGACAGACAAGGGGATTAATGTCCACTTTACACTCTACCCTTAGTCTGTTTGATATGATTCTTCATTGTAATGTCAACAAAATGACGGAGAAAAAAATTATATTTTTTCATACTTAATTTGCAAAAAAAGGACTCAAGAAAACTACTATTTGATGATGGCACCACCAGGCAAATCTGTATTGAGCTCGCAACACCTACAAGGAGGAATGAACCAGAGTTGAAGTAAAACTCATCATAGTTTGCCTGGTTGAACAAGCTAACAAAAGTTTTTCTAAAGGTACACACATGAAGTGTTTTCTTTTTCGCTGTTACATTTTTCGTTCACTCAGAAACTTTTCAAGACATATAGGCAAAGAGAAGTTTCATGCACAATCTTAAGTTGTAGCTGTCAGAGGATTTATGACAGAACAAGCCAGAATTAAACAAGAAAAGAAAAAACAGGAAATGGATCAATGTACACTTATGCAGAACTTAGTAATGTGGTTTCTAACACACAATTTAAATTTTTGTGTAGGTTCATTGTTTTTAAATATTCGAATTCAAAGAAAAAATTTCCCTGTTGTTGAATATGTATCTGTCTTTGATATCGTGATTGCATTTCTTAACTTTTTCTTGAATTAATGATTCTGAATGTTCAGATAGAACTCCGATGTTCCTGAAAAGGTTATTAAGGTGGTCACCTCATATTCTCAAAGAGTGTTTCTCATGATTGCGTTTGCAAAAAATCAATTTCAACATTTTGCTTAAAGAACGCCTGGTCATCAGCGCAGAGTGTTCAAATGAAAACATATCGTTCAAAAACAATTCTGAGTCAAGCTCATTTTTTGAGCGCAAGGCAAATTTCAGTAGCTCATATACATGTAGTTCATAAATAATTAGTAAACCATTTCGCATGAAAAGTTCTTTAGACGTATCGCTTCGCTGTCTGGAGTGTATGAATTTTAGAAATTTTTTCTGCAGCAGATAAATTGGCTTCACTTTAGAAAAATTACAGCATTCCTAGATGAGGATTCCTAATACTGCCTCTATCTTTTTCTCATATTAGATATTAGATTCGTCAAAACTAATGTTTCTAGACTTTTGAACTTTGAGTTTTCCTTCGTTCTCAATTCCTATCAGATAACCTTTACTACTCTCCGATGTCCTCAAGAAAATTCCACTCTTACAATTTTTGTCTATTTTTTTGCGAAACCGTTTTACCGCAACACTATACGCTACACATCCAAAAGTTTTCACAAAATTAAGGTTGGTTTTTTCTCCAAACATAGACTCCCAGGGTGATTTGCCTATAACAGAAGGAAAGCAAATATTTTTGAGATTGGTAGCATGTTAAGAGCATAAGGCCAATAATTTTCGATAAATTGGTAACGAAAATCATTGCAGCGAGTCAATAGAGTAATCGTTCCCCGCACACTTTCTGTCTTTCCAATCCCTTGCGGGGTATAAGGAGTCGACGTTTTCAGTCTTATTTTCTGTTTTCCTACAAATTAATTCAAGTTCCTGACCAATTTACTCTCCTGAGCTATCTGAAGCTAAAGTCTGAGGTACTCCTATGTATGCTTTGAAATTTTGCAACTTTTTTTCTGCGTAATCTCTCGTCTTCAAAAAATATATTTTTAGATATTCAAAAAAACTATCCACGAAACCTAAAGCATATCTATGACCATCCTCTGCTATTGGTATGATAGGATCTTAAGTATATTTGTGAACAATATCTAGTGTCCTGGTTGCTCTGGTGTAGCAATCTTTCAAGACTGGTTTTTTTTGCTTTATTCAATTCACAAGTTTCACAATTCTCAATTTTGAAATGGTTCAACTTCATGCATACAACATGTTGCTCTAAATGAAGTTAAATTTTGTAAATATTATGACCATTCCTCTAATGACGCTGTTTCAATGTGCTAATCACAGAACACTCGTCTTTTTCCACAAAAGCGTTCCTTAAAAATACACCCTTTTTATCTCTTAATCGATAAACTGAACCATTTCCTTGAGGAACAAG